GCAGTAGATGCAGAAATTCTTGCGTTTGCAATGAGGTTGAATAATGAATATGACCAACCTCCCGACAGTAATGGCAGGTTAGAGCACTTGTGTTACCTTGGGTAAATTGAGGTTTGGCTGAGCGTTGTGAACCAGAACGGCCAACCGCAAAAACAGGCTCGGAGCGCTGCCTGTCAAGCTGAGCTTGACTCTTCAACCTTGTTTCTTCACGAACAAGTTCAGCAAAAGCACCATCGATAGAGGTCACATTGCGATGAATAAGAGAAGCTCCAATGGGTTCAAACTCAGGTCGCAGTTTCATGAGAAACTGAAGTAGGCGAGAACGAGACCGATCCTGAAGAACCGCGGCTGAATCATTGTCAGGAGAAAGAGAGGCGGTGAGCATATCGGATTAGGTCCACATAGAAAGAAGCTCCTGATAATAACTAGGCACATCGCGATCCCCCTGCTCATAACGAGCAAGCTCACATTCCAGCTGAAATTTTCGAGAAGCATTGGCGTGAGAATACATACTCGTGATGTGAGTCCACATCTCATGAGCCGTTGAGAAGCGGCGAAGGCTGAGAGACGTGGCGACATCGAGAGAACTCAGCAACCATGTGATGATGAGGGCATTCCCAGCAGCCCAATCATCAATCTCCTTTCGAGGAGCAGTAGCAGCAGGCTTGGGCAGCGTACCAATGAGAATCGGAAGAAGGCGCCGACCCTCCACAAAATTGCGGAAATTGAATTCCCACAAGGCAAAGTTCTTACCATCAAATTTGATGGTGGCCGAGTCAAGTTTCCCAAAGTCCATGATGACAATACAAGAGGAACCAGCCAAGCACAAGTAAAGACAGCACCGAACCAGGGAATAACCAACCAAAGCTAACCTGATAAAAAGTCCACACAAAGAAATCCCCAGTAGCCGAGCGAAGAAAGAATCGACGGCGGAGAATACCCTAAGATCACCAAAGCCAGCCGAGAACCAACCAAAGAGCGGCTGCAACACCCTAATCGAAGAAGGAACAACCAACGCAAGGCCTCAGATCATAGGCTCTGATACCATGTCAAGAAAAGCTAAATCGCAGAACACAAAGACATTTTTTAACGTGGTATCGCCGGTATGGCACTAGCCCACGGAGAGGATCTCCCTCACAGGTTTTAGGGCTTATTATTTCGTAATTCCTTTGATACAGTTTACAACGATATTTATAGGTTTGCTATAACAAACCCTAACTACAATTACACTTTGGTACCTATATTTCAACAGATCTATGCTCCGACGCCCAAGTTAGTACGATATAGGGAAGATGTTTGGTGTTTAAAGAGATAGATCCTTTAACTTGGAGACATAAGTCTCCTTTTATAGGAGTCTTGGGCTTCCTTTCGTGGGGCTCAGACGAATTAATACCACACCCAACAATTGTATTAGCGGTGGTCAGATAAAAAAAAATTATCTTACGAGAGACTAAATTGACATTGCTGTTTTTAGCGGTACAATCTCATGACGACAAGTTAGCCTCGAAATAGAAGGGAATTTGTAGGGCACGGGAGAATTTGATCAAATCTAAAACATCTGCATGACGACAAGTTATGTGATGAATGGACGAGTAATAGCTATAGACATAGATGGGTCGACAAGTTAAGTGAGATATTTTCAGTTTCTTGTTGTTTTTATCAAATAATATGCTTCTTTCCACCACATTGTGACACTTGAAATAATTACTGATCATTCAATCTCTCCCCCCGACTTCAGTTCTGTTAATTCCTCCTATTTTATTTGTGCATTATTCATTTATGTTATCCTCTTTGATTGAACTCTATTCTCTATATACTTGGAAGCAAAACAAAATAATAAAATATGTATTTTCTCATAGCCATATCGAATTATGGTTCGAACTTTTGATGATGTGCTACAGAGAGTATTGCTTGTCCTGAATGGTGGAAGATAAAAAAAAAAATCACAGTCAATCTTATGAATGTTTTAAGTTCACGTCCGACCCAAAATATATTCTGGTTTGGATCAAGTATTAAGTACGAGATATCACTGCCAAGAAGTTGAGTTGAAATTTTTGGCTACAGCTATATATCGGCCAGGAGAATTTGAGAGTTGGGTAGATATATTTATTTCATTTCCCTTAGGGGGTTGTGACCGTATCTCATCCCAAATGCCACAGTATTTCCGATAAGCAATTAGGCTCGTTTGGTGAACAAATTCGTTGCCATGAAATGAAATACATATCAGATATTGAATTCTTCTGTTTTCGTTTATTCCTTTAATTTCCCAAGTAAAGAAGAACCACGAGACAGTGCGTGGTTGAGATATACCGTTCAAATTCTAGGATCACACTATCAATACGATTACTTGCTAGATGGCTGACATTTTTTGTCAACTCTTGAGAAAGATTAATTAACACAATCAAGTCGTTGTGTTAATTAAAAGATTTGGAGAAGGAAAAGATCGATTTAATATCAAACCCGATGGTTTAGAAAATTCGAATAGGAAATGAAAACTCTGTATATTGTGTTTGAAGTTCTTAAAAGTTATATCATGCGCTTAGGAATGAGTATGGATTATAATGGGGCGGGTTGGGCGGCTATCACCATACTCGTGCTTAGTCAAGGATTATAAATTCAAATATGAAATAAGGAAGTGATATTTAATTATTAAGATAAACTGGTTTTTGATATGATATCAGAGTTTTTATATTCGAGATGTGTTTTGTTCGAATTTCGATGATCTCTATGGGTAAGCACATGGTGTCTGATATATTTGCAAACGTCAAACTCATATGAGTGGCTGATGTTTGACTTTGAGGTAGCGTGTTTCGTAAATGATTTGACTTTATTGATTTATGATTTCTTCCTCTACCATTATAGTAAATATTGTTCCGGTGCTTTGTCAAAAAGAATAACTCGGAAATCGGAATGGGTCAATTTGTTCCGAATTAAGGTACCCATTGTGTACAGGAAGCTCGCAATCATATATGATTCATTTTGTGCATCATCCAGCAACTTAATTTATTATGATCAACTAGTTCTTGATTATATCCAAGCATTCAATCGATCGAGAGGTACCATATTCAAATTCACTTTATCCTCTCAATATTGACAAGTCTTTATTAGGGCGCTTCCAACAATTAAGTTATTTAGAATTATATATGGCGGATTAATTGTCTAACCAATCAAAAAATTTGTTGAAACTTGTGTGTGCACTACTTTGAAATACAGTGAGAATGGGTTGGTGAGAACTCCAAATCATCATTTGCAAATCCTTCCTTTTTTTCTTACTGGGCGATGTTTGATTAGTGCACAAAATCATCATTCATTAAGAAAAACTTTGGTTTGGGCACAAATCCATTAGTAATTAAATCCTGGTTGGTGAAGACTTGTAATTGGAAAGCTGGTTACTTGTCTTTGGACTTTCTTATATATCTTTCATTCTTTCTTGCTATTGCCGAGTGCCGACTTCATCAGTTGATGGATTGCGTAATCCTGATCTAACAACTGATTAATTTTGAAAATGGAGGCCAGGCAGGACATCATGATGTACAAATTGCTAGGTTTAACTTGGTTCTGGAAATGCCGATTTTCAGTACTCTGCGTCGAAACCAAATTGTCTTAATATGCATAGATTTTTGTGTTTAATTAAACTAGATTAATATACACACTAATGATGTGGCGTTTTCAATCAACAAAACAAATGTAGGTATATATATATATATATATATTGTTGGTTAATTGCGATGTGGAGATTTGAATTAATTTCCCTCTTCTGTTCTTTCCACGCAACGACTCAACAACCCTCTAGGGGAGAGGAATGGAATCCCCTTATTATTTTAGCATTTGATGGTCAAGTCAAAACCCACTTTCGCTGTCTCCCTCAAAGTTCTCAACTTGCAAAACGATGATAGATGACGATTAGGGTACGAAGTTTGGTAACGGTATTTAGTATATACCTAATTTATTTATATTTGATATTATCGAATACACATATTATTTATTAGGATTGGAATTGAATTCTAATTATTATTCGGTATGAGGGATTGCGGGATTGAGATTGGGATCGATATATACCGAAATACCGATCAATACCGAAATATAAGCTAGTGTGTATTTTATTCTCTCAACTAGTTTCTTTCATTAACTACTACACGACCCTCAACCACCAAGAGTGTTATTTAATTATACATAGATCATTCTATCACTATTTCATAAGTTAGAGGTCCCCATTCAACTCAAATTTGACTTTCCAATTTAAGTCGCTCTCGTTTCTCACTTAATATCTCTTCTTATTTTCATAACAACAAAAAGCAAACACTAGCATTAGTCCTTAACCTCCAATATCTACTCCATTCTCCTTATCCATATCCTCGCTCTAGACAAACTCAAAACTCTTTGCTTAGTCTCTTTGTCATAAATTAAACAATAAAATCTAATTTATATATTTAATTTTTAATTGCAAAAGTAATTAATTTTGTATTCGATAATACCGATTGGGATACCAAAGTACCGATTGGGATACCGAAATATTTAGGGATTGAGATTGGGATATCGAAAATATTTAGGGATTGAGATTGAGTTTAGGGTGTAATTCGGTATTTGATATTGGGATACCGATACGGTACCGATTTCCACACTAATTTCGTATGACACAACACTGACTGCTGCTTCATGCCTCTGTAAACATTTACGTTTGACAAAACGAAGATTCAATACTACAATGTACCTTTCACAGCTTCTCCGGTTAGCATTCTTTTATGAACATTGATTGAGGGCAGAAACCAGAAAATAGACAGTGAGAAGCCCACTGGATTTGTATCAATGATAAGCTTAAGCAATTGAATGGGCCTAATCCTTCTTTTTGTTGTTCATTGGTAGATCTAGTTAGTAACCTCAAACCTGATTCAGCTCACTATATTTCCATAAGCCCATAAATTTGGACCCAACATTCCAGCAGGCCGGCCTTTTTGTTCTCCGATTCTCTCCCACGCGTCCTCTCCTTGTCTCGTCGCGTCACTCGCCAAAACACCAAAGAGGAAAGAGACTTGTAAATTCTGTCTCTGATAATCCCTGTTTCTTCTCCATCCCGCTCCTCCGCCTCATTTAGCCTGAATTAAACTCTAAAATTTCCCTAACTCCCGTCGCTTCTCTTTCAATTCGATCGCCATGTCTTCCGCCATGGATGTTTGGGGTAAGCACCTCTTTTCACTTGATGTTTCTTCATGTATTCTCGGTCGCTCTAATTTTTGCGCGGATATGGTTGGGGTTTTCTCTGTTGATTCTGACGTTATAGGCGTTTGTTTGGAGCTGGTCTGTTCGTGTAGCAAATAGTTCTTCTGTTTTCAAATATCATCATTCATCACCTTAGTAATCACGACGTTTTCTTTTGGTTCTTTTGTGTTGTGCGCTATTTTGGTTCTTCTGGAAAATGGCACTTGTAAGTAGCTTTGGGATTTGCTACTTCCACTAAGAAGCTTTCTGGTGAGTCCAGGACTCAGAAGGAGGAGGCGTCAGTGGAGAAGGCAGACAACGGTGTGCACTTATTTTCTTATGGAGTGATATTAACTATGTTTTATCTTGTAATAATAGTGCCTGATGTTGGTCTCTCTTGCCTGTAACAATGGTGTCACAGGTAAAGTTGCTGAGGCTCTGCCTGCTGCCCCTGCTGAGGCTGCACCCGTCAAGTCCATTGCCATGTCTTCCGCCATGGACGTTTGGGGTAAGCACCTCTTTTCCCATGATATTTATTCATGTGTTCTCCATCGTTCCATTTTTGCACGGATATGGTCGGGGTTTTCTCTGTTGATTCTTACGTTATATGTGTTTGTTTGGAGCTGGTCTGTTCCTGTAGCAAGTAGATCTTCTGTCGTCAATGATCATTCCCTTAGTAATCGCCACGTTTTCTTTTGGTTCTTTTGGAAAATGACACTTGCAAGTAGCTTTGGGATTTGCTACTTCCACTGTGAAGCTTTCTGGGGAGTCCGGGACTCGGGAGGAGGAGGGGTCAGTGGAGAAGGCAGACAACTGTGTAGCAGGTAAAGTTGCTGAGGCTGTGCCTGCTGCACCCGCCAAGTCCATCCCCATGTCTTGCGCCATGGACGTTTGGGGTAAGCACCTCTTTTCCCTTGATGTTTCTTCATGTGTTCTCCATCTTTCCATTTTTGCACGGATATGGTTGGGGTTTTCTCTGTTGATTCTTACGTTATAGGGGTTTGTTTGTAGCTCGTCTGTTCGTGTAGCAAGTAGTTCTTCTGTTGTCAAAGATCATTCTCTTAGTAATCGCGACATTTTCTTTTGTTTCTTTTATGTTCTTTCTCCGCTATTTTGGTCCAGCTTTGGGATTTGCTACTTCCACCAAGGAGCTTTCTGGTGAGTCCAGGACTCGGGAGGAGGTGCCGGTGGAGAAGGCAGAGAATGGTGTGCACTTTTTTCTTGTAGAGTGATGTTAACAATGTTTTATATTGTAATAATGGCTTACCTTTGGTCTTTCTTGCCTGTAACAATGGTGTAACAGGAGGTAAAGTTCATGAGGCTGTGCCTGCTGCCCCTGCTGAGGCTGCATCCACCAAGTCCATCCCCATGTCTTGCGCCATGGACGTTTGGGGTAAGCACCTCTTTTCCCTTGATGTTTCTTCATGTGTTCTCAATCATTCTATTTTTGCACGGATATGGTTGCAGTTTTCTCTGTTGATTCTTACGTTATAGATGTTTGTTTGTAGCTGGTCTGTTCATTTAGCAAGTAGTTCTTCTGTTGTAAAAAATCATTCTCTCAGTAATCGCCATGTTTTCTTTTGTTTCTTTTGTGTTCTTCCCGCGCTATTTTGGTCCAGCTTTGGGATTTGCTACTTCCACCAAGGGGCTTTCTGGTGAGTCCAGGACTCAGGAGGTGCCAGTGGAGAAAGCAGAGAATGGTGTGCACTTTTTTCTTGTAGAGTGATGTTGACAATATTTTATATTGTAATAGTGGCTGACCTTTGGTCATTCTTGCCTGTAACAATGGTGTAACAGGAGGTAAAGTTCATAAGGCTGCGCCTGCTGCCCCTGCTGAGGCTGCAGCCGTCAAGTCCACCGCCATGTCTTGCGCCATGGACGTTTGGGGTAAGCACCTCTTTTCCCTTGATGTTTCTTCATGTGTTCTCTATCGTTCTATTTTTGCACGGATATGGTTGGGGTTTTCTCTGTTGATTCTTACGGTATAGGCGTTTGTTTGGAGCTGGTCTGTTCGTGTAGCAAGTAGTTCTTATGTTATCAAAGATCGTTCTCTTAGTAATCGCGACGTTTTCTTTTGTTTCTTTTGTGTTCTTCCTGTGCTATTTTGGTCCAGCTTTGGGATTTGCTACTTCCACTAAGGAGCTTTCTGGTGAGTCCAGAGAACGGTGTGCACTTTTTTCTTGTAGAGTGATGTTAACAATGTTTTATATTGTAATAGTGCCTGACCTTTGGTTTTTCTTGCCTGTAACAATGGTGTAACAGGAGCTAAAGTTTATAAGGCTGCGCCTGCTGCCCCTGCTGTGGCTGCGCCTGCTACCCCTGCTGAGGCTGCATCCACCAAGTCCATCGCCATGTCCTCCGCCATGGACGTTTGGGGTAAGCACCTCTTTTCCCTTGATGTTTCTTCATGTGTTCTCCATCGTTCTATTTTTGCACGGATATGGTTTGGGTTTTCTCTTTTGATTCTTATGTTAAGGCGTTTATTTGGAGTTGGTGTGTTTGTGTAGCAATAGTTCTTCTGTTATCGAAGATCATTCTCGTGGTAATTGCGACGTTTTCTTTTGGTTCTTCTGTGTTCTTCCTGCCATATTTTGGTCCTTCTGGAAAACGACACTTGTAAGTAGCTTTGGGATTTGCTACTTCCACTGAGGAGATTTCTGGTGAGTCAGAGAACGGTGTGCGGTTTTTTCTTCTTGTTGAGTGATATTAACGATGTTTTATCTTGTAGTAGTGCCTGACCTTTGGTCTCTCTTGCCTATAATAATGGTGTAACAGGTAAAGTTCATAAGGCTAAGCCTGCTTCCCCTGCTAAGGCCAAGCCTGGTACTCCTGCTGAGGCTGCAGCCGCCAAGCCTGAAGCTGCTAAACCAAAATCCAAAGCTGCTGGTATGCCCGCTAAACCTGAGAATGAATCTGATGATGACGAGTCTGGAGAGGTAGCTTGTAATACTTTGTGTCTACTTTAGTGATTTGAAAATGTGTATTTTTGCCATGGCAACTCATCCTCTTGCTATCAATGGTGCAGGATATGTCTGTTGATCATGATGATGACAGGGAAGACGTGGAGATTCCATCTTCAAAGAAGCCTCAGCAAGGTAAGAAGAGGTCCAATGACTCTGCCTTGGAAACAACAGTCCCTGCCAAGAAGGCCAAACAGAATACACCTGCAAAGACTGGTGAGTTTCTCACTGAAATTATTCTAGTGTTTCATCGGTAATGGGTGGTATTTGGTTGCTGAAAGATTTTGATGGAAATGCGCCTCTCCTGTCTCTTTCGTTTGCTTTATGCTTCTTGTCGAAGATTCTTGGTTGCTAACTACTGTGCCGTGTTGGGTGTTTTGCTCAGAAGGGAAAAATAGTGGACACACAGATACACCTCACCCGGAAAAGAATGCTGGTAGTGATGCTAAGAACCCGGAATTGGGTTAGAAGTGATTTGGATCCGATGGTGCTTGCCAGACTCACTCCAAGGCCAAGCGCACTGCCAAGTAAAGAGATATAGGGGAAAAGATCTATATTCTAGAGAAGGGTTGTTGTTTTTTTTTGGTTGGTTTAGTAGTTAAAGCGACAGCGATGGTAAATAAGAGGTTCTTGTTCATGGGAGAGAACTTATGGGAATGGATGGATTTATGCCAGAGTGATTTTGGGTATTGGTTGGCTGCCACAGCATTTGGACATGTTAGAACATGTCTTTGTAATGTTGCAGATGATGCATCGAGTATAGTAGGTTTACTTCTTCGTCGTCGTCTTGATTGCCGCCGCAATACGACCCTTTCATCTACCCTCTATAGTTTACCTGTTGTGGAACCTGTAGATGGATAGTTGAGTAATCTGTCACAATGACAAGCCATGTTTCAAAAAGCTTACTCACTCAGCCTGTTCGATTTCTAAATTTTTCATCCGAGAACAAGAACACTCTGATAGTGAACAATTTCCTGGTCCTGCCCAGTTAGTAGTCATTTCTTTATAAATCGGTTCGAAACTGTTCTATGGGTTGGAATAAGGGTGACATGACATATTGCTGGTGTTCGAAAATCGGTTCGGAATGAACCAAACCGAATAGTCAAATTCCGGACCAAACCTGCCAGCCCATTTAGGCGGGGCTTTCTTTTCTCTTTCGTCGACTGGAAGCATCCTCCCCTTCCAAAGCCTTCGCCTGTGCAAACATCGTCCAACACAGAGTCTCTTCCCCAACCGGATAGGAGCCGCCATTCCTGCGTCGCTCGAACGAGATAGAGTGTGTTAGGGAGAGAGGCTGCTGCCAGAGTTGGTAGCTTCCATCCACAATTCGCCGCTCCTCTCAAACTGTCAAACACCAACCGCCAGCGATTCCTCTCTAATGGGCGCCGGTCTCAATATGCGGCCTCCATCGTCGAATTCTACGCCTCCATCAATCCGAAACGCCAAGTAAGCTCTCCTCAATTATGCTCCTTTCAGTCGCATTCCTCCTTTCCCAATTTCATTTGACGGATTGTTGTCATTTTTGGAACCCTCAACCGTCCTTACCTGGTTTCCCTTCTCCTTCTCCCACAGCAATGACGATCACGCTCGGAGGAAGCTAAAGACGAGAGCTCTGGTGTTGGGTATGAATATAATTGCCCTATATCTAGCACTCCGAATCAGTTCTAGGTTTGTTTCTTTCATCGTATTCTCCTTCATGACCACCTGGACTTATGGTTTCAATTGGGCCGCTGTGTTGCGCTTTATCTTCTGCAGGTGATACATTTGCTTTGTTCTATTCGTTGCATCCTCTGGCTCTGTTTACCCTTCCTCTCAATTTCCCGATTGGACACAATCATGCTGTTCACAGGTAATCCTTAATAATAATTCAGCTTATAGACATTCAGTCTTTTAGTGAATTATAATCTCTTAATTCTCTTTACAACATTGAGTGTGCGTGCCCTGTTACCTCAAGTATGAGTTGGTGTGCTATGAGATATTTGATACATTCTTCAACTTTTTCGCAGTCTTAGTTCTTCCACTACTGATTCTTCAGTGAAGGCAAATTTTGTTTCCTTTTACATCCTTTTGGAACATACTGAACTTTTCTAAAGCAGAAAGGCAAGGTTTCAAATTCCACTGCAAAGAGACTTGCACGAATAGTTTTTGACAAGCAATTCACCAAAACTTGCACCAAAGCTGATGATGAGTGACTGCTTCTAAATGTATGGTCATTACCATCACCTAATCGTTCCTGACACCCAGTCTAGAGATATAATTGCCCATGAAACCACAACTTACTTCTAAATGCCAACACACTGTCCTACACTTTCTATACTTTGACTAGAAAACTAGCAGTCCCTTACCTCACCTCAACTTTAAAACTGCACAGTAAGTAGGCTGGCATTAGATTATTCAGTTGGAAATAACAATCGTGCTTTCAGTAGCCATTTCTGGCTTCATCCGGCTCCCACACGAGACTCCAAATTCGAGGCCCAGCATGGAGCACAGTTCATACACCACGGAACTAACTAGCTTTATTTTTTCCCGTTCAATTAATCTAACAATGCAAGAACAAAGTTCAACCAAAGCTGTTACTTACTTTTCGTTGCTCTTTTCTTGAACACAGATTTCTACTTCCTCTTCCTCTTCATCACCGAATGAAGATTATTCTTGGAGAACTTCCTCGCCTTCTTTCCCAGCTTCCCTATTTGCACCGACTAGGTAGTGTTATTGATTTTTCCCCCCTAATAAAAGTCTATGCTTGAATGAATTAAAAGCAAATCAAATTATCTGAGTTGAAGTCAATATATCTTCAGAAAATTGTTATAGTTGTATCTTCAATGTTTGTGTCTAAATTTAATGGTAAGAGAGCATGTCGACGATCGATCATAGTGGTATGTGTGAGAATAAGCTGAGTTGGTTTCATTTAAATGAGCTCCTGCTCTATTGTCGGTGCAGGGGATCTGAAATTGTCATCACCCAGTTCAACCATCCTTTATGACAACCTGGATTTGAATGAAGTGAACTGTATCTGAGAAAAGGTTCTACTTCTATAACTATGAATTTTTGCTTAGCCAATATCCAGAACAGTTTCCATATATTAAATTTTGTTTTATCTATAGAAGGATTGCTGCTAATGCTTCGTGATTGCTTAAAGAGGGAGAACGCCAGATTATAGGTCCACTTTCACATCAAGACTTGAAGGATTTAACCCCCAACCCTACTAATCAAGTCAGCTACTCTACTCCAGGCAAACAGTCAATATGTAGAATCCTTCTAGATACCTTTAGAAGAAAAAAAAAAAAAAGAGAATCCTTCCAGATGATGAATCCTGTCTATGAATGCTCTAATCTCCAAATCTTAGCTTGACGTGACTTCAATTCACTCGGACCTAAAGGCGGTCCTGGTCCTCAATGATGTTAGTTCTTGCTTAATCCAAGTTTTGTCCTCCTAGATTGGTAATTTCACTGTTTGTTTGCAGCTTGAAGTAGGAACTTTTGGGGGTTGAGGGTTTTGTATAGATGAAGTCTAGGTTCTTATTGTCTTTGGATGTGTTATTGTACTTGAGTCAGCTAGGTTTGACTGCCCTTTCAAGAATGAGGTGCAACACAAACCAATTGAGATGCCATGGGCTTTGCCTCTTAATTGACGGCTTGCTTAATTGCTTTGCAGTTATGCTCTTAACCGCTTATTATCTGAATACGATGTCTATGGTTTAAACTTCCAGTGTGCTCGATGCTTATTTCAAAGGTATTTTCTGCAATGTGTATTATAGAGATCTGAGTAAATTCATGTATGATATGTGTAACTCTCTGGTTGGCTTTTCTGTCAATTTAAACTGTCTACAGTAGCTATGTTGAGTTCTATTGTCCTAGGTTAAGTGAGATACATAAGCTCCAATTTCTATCTTGGAAATTGTTCGGTTTTCTTTGGACTTAATTCGTGTCCAGCTGTTTTGAGAATCTTAAACGACCATTTTCTTCTGCACTTAGGAATCTGGTCCTATAGTTATGAAAAGTGGTGTCACTTTTATCTTTTGTTTTAATTCTGTTGTTTGGCCATAATCTTGGTACATGTTCTTTACATTGTTCGTTGCTATACTAGATTTGTCCGAATAGACTTCCAACTATGATTTTGTGGTCCTCCTGTAGAACACTTTGGACACAGGAAACTTTATATTAAAATTGGCAGCCATAAGTATATCCAGTATCCTTTCATCTCTTGTCTTAAGCTCACTTTATTCTGGAAACAAGTTACTGATAACATAAAGAGAGGGCAAGAAGAGATGACTTTTACTTATTCGATATGTGATTTGTTTTGTTATTCGGTTCTTTCATGTTGTTGCATTTTCTTAGCCTTTTTCAAAATTCCATATGGTCTCTTATGAAAATGTTGCCAATTCTCTTTTTGTTTGCAGATTGTCGGAGGAAGCTTTCTGGGTATTTTGATGATATCTTCATATATCATCGAGCATTTATTGGAGAGGGTCCTTTAAAATCTCTGAAGTCTCTGCTGAGGACTCACTGCACGTAGTTGAGGCCTTAAGGTTTGTATTTAATTTTTGTTTGTCGATCTTCTGATTATGTTATGTGACAGTTCAATTTACAATCTCAATTCTTGGCTTTGGTTGTAATTTGTTTTGCGGTATGGTCATCGCAGAACTGCCGCCTGACCGGGTAAAGCAAGTTTTTAAGAAGTTATGCTTTCCAAGTGGTTGCTCCTTTACGGATGTGTTATTTGTAGACTCCATACAGTAGGAAGAGTGAATTGAGAAATTACCTGTTTTAATTTTGGACATTTGATTAGCTGTGAAGGTAAATTAGCTTTCAAGGTATTGCTCATATTTCTTCAATAATGCTAGCAATCCATTTGCGCTTGATTTCAAGTGTATCTCTTTCAATTGCTAGTCGATTTATGTTCTGTTGTGCTGGTGCCGCCGTGATTCAAAATGTTTACTGTCATCATATACACTGGAAGCTGGAAGCTTTTATGTGGAATTGAGACCTGTTGTTGTGTTTTGGTGAGCGGTGTATAAACTCCATTTGTTTCATTACAGGCTTGCCGGGCTCACTTATACGTTCTCAGCAAGTATTCTGCTACAAATACCGCCGGTATGCTTTTTGTCTCATTGGTTGGTATATGGGCTTCCGGCTTGAATCTTTTTGGGCAAAAGAGGAAGAAAGTTGTGAGACTATTAGGAGAGCTTGGGAGGAGATGGACCTGGAAGATTTGGAGCATAGTCTGGCAAGTTGCGAGATCTGTTGAACGAATGGAGCTCGAACCGATTTGGAGAGATTCCTAAGCGCATAACCCAGCTCCGAAAGGAAATCAGGCAGATGAAAACGTTGAATAAAGATACCACCTGAGATCGAGGAAGAGAAAATTGGAGCTGGAGCTGAAGGAATTATTGTATAAGAACGAGCAGAGGTGGAAACAAAGGTCTAGGATGAAATGGCTACGGGAAGGAGAAAAAAATACCAGAGTATTTCATGCTAGAGCTTCGGAACGAAGAAAGAAGAACACCATCAAGAAGCTAAAAGATGAACAAGAGAGGGTCTATGTGGGACAGGAGGAAGTTACAAAGTGTTTGATTGATTATTTAAGTGATATCTTTGAAAGTGAGTCGAAGGGGATAAGTGGAAGGTGATCGAGGCGACGGAGACAAAGGTTACACCTGCAATGAACGAGCAACTTTTAAGGCCCTTTACTGGGGAAGAAATCCAGATAGCCCTGGGGGCGACGGCTTCCCAACGCTCTTTTTCCAGAAGAACTGGAATGCAGTGGCTCCAAAATTATCAGTGAGCTTTCCCAGTTTCTTCACCAAGGGTTTTTTCCAGAGAATCTCAATAAGACTCTCATCGCCCTTATACCGAAGGTAAAGCACCCCTCATCTCCTAAGGACTACCCACCTATTAGCCTCTGTTCTGTTCTTTACAAAATTCTAGCAAAAACAGTGGCTAATAGACTAAAAGGAGTCCTTGACAATCCTATTTGTGAAGCACAGAGCGCTTTGTACCTGAGAGATCAATCATCGACAATGTTATTGCAGCTTTCGAGTGTTTTTTTGCCATGAAGAAGAAGACAAAAGGTGAAAAAGGTTATCTTGCTCTTAAATTAGATATGGCAAAAGCTTACGATCGGGTAGAATGTTATTTTCTTGAAAGAATAATGAGGAAGATAGGTTTTGATGATAGATGGATTGACCTGGTTATGAACTGTGTTTCCTCTGTCCCATATTCAGTATTGGTGAATGGACATAAGTCGAATTTCTTTAAACCAAGTAGAGGTCTCAGACAGGGAGACTGGTTATCCCCATACTTATTCCCCTGTGCTCAGGTCTGACTGCTCTTGTCAATAAGTACGAAAGGGAGAAGATGATTCATGGTATTAAAATATGCAGTCGAGTCCCCATTGTGTCACATTTACTGTTTGCAGATGATTGCATTCTATTTGCTCTGGCAAGTGTGGAAGAAGCAAGGAGACTCAAGGAGATATTAAGGGACTATGAGGCAGAATCTGGACAGATGGTTAACCTTGGCAAATCTTAAATTTATTATAGTTCAACAAGAGAAAAGAAGCGAGATTTTTAGTGAATTGAATATTAAAGTGGCCGACAAGCTTGCCAAGTACCTGGGTTTGCCAACGATGGTGGGAAAGATCCAAGAAGCTTGTATTCAATAATTTATAGGAACGAGTTAGAGGGAAGCTATGTAACTGGAAGAGCAGATTATTCTCAGAGGCTGGCAAAGAGGTCCTGATTAAATCATTGCCCAAGCACAGGTAACATATGCGATGTCTGTGTTTAAGATTCCGGATGGGTATAATTGATGATATACACAGGCTGATTGCTAATTATTGGTGGGGCAGAAGGGGAATGAAAGAAGGATTCATTGGAAAAGCTGGGAGAGATTGTAACTGGAAGAATAAGATGGCGGCCTAGTTATATTTGGATCCGAAGGTGTAACCTAGGCAACGAAAAAGGTGCAGGTGGAAGATCGGTTCCGGAGAAGATGTCAAAATATCCTTCCTGTAGGTGCTAAAATTAGCAGAAGAGTTAAAAATCTTGGAGATGAATGCCTTAACTGTGGGCAGAAGGAACCCATTAAGCATTGCCTTGTTGATTGTTGCTGGGCAACTCGGATATGGAGCACAGGACAGGCCAATAGAAATGGCAGCTCACCCTGAAAGCCTTACAGTGAGGCAGAGACAGACATCAAGCTTGCATCTCCGTCTTGGCGTCAATCCTTCTTATCTATCTCCTACAAGCCCAATTGCTCACCTTTGCTATCAAGCTGAAGGGATTACCAGCAGTGCTTGGATTAAAAAAATCCCAAATGAAGCTGCACCTGAGAAATTGGTGCTGTTGTGTGCATTAATTTGGTTTTTCTGGAAGGAAAGGAACAAATTCATGTTCAACAACACGCTTTTGCAGGAATGGTAGGTCTTCCCAAAAGCAGAGAACTTCATTCGGGATTATGTACAAGTGCAAGGGAAAGGATCAGCTGCCAAGAAATATTAGTGGAAGGAGGAAGGGACTGCAGATGGGGAAGGCCACAAGATGGAGTCTACAAGATCAATACTGATGCCGGTACCCTCGAAAATCGGAAAACTGGGTTAGGATGTGTGATGAGAGATTGGAATGGCTCAATTGTTGTTGCTGCGAGCGAGCAGGACGGAAGACCAGAGGTGGAGCCCTGAAATTGCAGATGCTGATTGGGACTTACAATTGCCGTGGAAAGGAAAATCGAGCCCCTATTCGGACTGTAAAAGGCTGGTGGATTATCTGAAGTGATGATTTAACTGCTGTAATTGCGGATGTAGTGTGGCCTCTTGAGGCCATTTCTGATTGATCTCAATGGAGTAAAGTTATCGGTTTCCTCTTAAAAAAAAAAGGTCTAAATTAGTTTCGATGTTGTGATCATGTCGAATTTGATATTTTCTAGTAACCTACTACATATTCAATTACTGATACAAAGCACTGATCTCAAACAGAAGTAGTCCGATTCTACAAACCCCCAGATTTTGCTTGCAAAAACAATAACATTTGCAGGCAGTAGAGCTCAACGGAATGAGCCAACCACAGCTAACTAGGTCATCCATAAACCATTTATTCATAGACTCAAACGTCAGAGTACAATGTTTGGCCAACTTCAAACTCAAAACATTCTACCATCCAAGAACAAACAACCAGAAAAAAAACTCAGTCCACACCCTGGTCTATCTGAACATTGTTTAACAGTACAACCATCAGCTTGCCCCCTGAAGCTTTATTCTTCTTCTTCTTCCTCACATTGTTTTAATAGAACAACCATCAACTTGCATGCTGAAGCCTTATCCTAAATGCTCACATTGCAGAACCTGTTTCAAACAACACAACAGACCTAAAAAGGAAATTCAACTACACATCAACTGTAACTAAAATTCGCGGCTTCCAATTAAGGTGGACTCACTCATCATTAATCTTCGCCATTTCGCTGAGCTCTTCCTTCCGTTTGACAAGGCAGGTGGCGATTTCATTATTGACTTCATCGAAGTTCTGCAGTTTAGGCCCGATTTCAGCGACGATAGATTTTATCTGCACCCGGCAGTGATCAAGCTTGACCTGGGTACCTGCAGCTTCATTGGACGACCCTGATTCCAACTGCTGCTGGAGCTTTTCCTTTTCCTCCATAGCAGTAGCCAGATCACCGAACAACTTAACAATCTCCTGATCAAGCTCCATCAGAGATTTGTAGTGTCCATTGGCAGCGTCCATAATTGAGTGACTATACGAAAAAGGAGCAGACGCAGATCAACACGCTAACAAAACCCTAGAAATCCACAAAACAAACGAGATTCAAGTAAGCGCACTACAGTTCTTGAGGTTAAAAACCCTAGACTGCGGCGATGAAGGAGAAAGCGCGTGGAAGAAATGGGGAAAAAAACTCCTCCACCTTTGTAAGGGTTTTGGGTCAACCTTTGTATTGGGTCCAATAGAATATCGGTCTCCTTTCTGACTGATCCCCATCCATGGGCTTGGCCCTTAAAGCCATACTAATGCAACGTTACTCTAAAAACTAGATTAGAGCCCGATCCTCGACCGGTTTTTTCTTTCTTTCATAGACGCTTATTTTTTCGGTAAAAGTTTTATTTTTGGTTGATTTATGGGCAGGAGAGGGATGGCAATCAAACCCATGGCCGCGGATACCCGACCGCCCCCGACCCAGTTAACGCGGGGAATTCCCGCTTTGACCTGGTATGGGGCGGGTATGGGTAAAACCCGCAAAAAGTTTAATATGTATGGGGCGGGTATGGTTTTAGCCTCCCTCGCCCCATACCCATACCCATACCCGCCCCACCAAGAGAATTTCTTCACGTATAAAAAAAAAATATGTGGATCAAATTGTAATTTATCAGTGAAGATGAGGATAACTCTAGAAAATAAATAGTAGAAATGCAATTGAGTGACCACACTAATCAAAACATAATTCATTTCCCTCAATTTTCTTCACTCTTTCACTTTCACCCTTGTCAACCAGATTATGCTAGTTAATTATTACTTAGTAGATGTATCAAAGTTAGAGCATAATAATTTGAAAATATTGTACTCTATATTATGCATTAATGGATGTCTTAGGATCATATTCTTTCAATCGTATTAAGAAAATGACCGTGTTTTGTTGACTTCACGATATAATAGGTTCGTTTAGAGTTATAATTAAACATTTTCTTGTAGGTTTTAGGTATAATAATATTGGATGTACGGGGACGGGGTATTACCCATGGGTACCCGAAACCCACGGGTATGGGGATGGGTTTGCAAAACATTCCCCCGCATGGATATGGGGCGGGTATGAGTTTGGGTATTCGAAGATGGGGATGGTTTAGACAAACCCGCCCCATTACCATCCCTAGAAGCGACACACAATTTTAAACGGGTCGAACTTGTAAGAGGGGGGAATCTGATATGTGAAGAATGGTAATGTGGCCATCAAGAAATTGGGTAAGATGATAAGTTTGGTCATTTTCGTATTGTTTCATATCAGATAAGAGAAACAATCAATTCTTACTCATAAGAGTTCGAGTATGATAACTTTGGAGTTCTTGTCATTTGAGATCGGTTTTTTACTTATAAGTAATGGATCTCTTCAGCGCCTTGTCAAAGTAAAATTCACGTAAGTTGTTACATATTGTAGAGAGAGGAGGGGGGGAGAATGGGTTTATCTTCATATGTTCAGTGGGCTAGAGTTTTAATGGATTATATACATACTTAATATAAAATTATATTTTATTTTTGCCATTAATTACTATCTTATTTGTATATGTATATTACAAAATGAATAAAATGACTCAAGCGGGTTGAATCCCTATCGGATCATTGAATCTCAAAAATCACTTGTTCGATTGACTAAACAACCTAAACCGATTGACAACCTTGATCACAACTCACAATATCTTATCATTCCAGCATAGGAAAGGGGGAATATGGACCTGCAGAACATATCAAAACAACACAGAAGATAGGGGGGATCTCACAAAGATATGGTCTTGAGATTCACTGCCTCCTCAATAAAATAAACAAGTGTTCAACACTATTTTATTTTCCACTAAGCAACAAGTTTATCTAGTGTAACCATCCGATCTAGGATGACTAGCCACAAATAGATATTAAGCTTAGGGCATTAGTGTTTCCCCCAAACAAGTTCAGACCTAAAAACAAGAGGGAAGAAGAGAAAAGCACAAGTAACTAGGCATACATACACCAGAACATACATCACTGGTTTCATCATTACATACTCCCCAAAGGGGTTTATCTCAACCCAGCTATAATTATAATCATCACATATTCATTCATCATATTTCATTCCATTCTATGCTTCTACTATTTGTCACATTCCTCATTCCCATACCATAGCATTTATGTTAATGAAAATACACCCCCTATATTTCAATGAATGAAAGCAGTACAATGATAACATTCATCCCCTGAACAACAAAGCCATAGTCAAACATCACACGACCGGGAATTCCATTAATGGAGATTGCCACTAACAATTAACCCTTTACTTCTAACCAACCCATGAGTACATACATACACGCACACATGTTCCATATAGCAGCAGATCATGATTAATCCTTGCTTTGCTTTGGAGTTCATCATAGTTATCATTACATTAATTAAGTTTACACCAGTCATTTACCCCCCCCCCCCCCCCATTTCATCACATATTATGTCTGCTACTTTATACTCATACCATATCTATGCAAATATAAACATCGAATAGCATTCAAAAACGTCATATCTCGTATCTGGGCCGCTTCATGACCCAAATACCATATTCGTGTATCGTGGCACATCATCATCTATCATACACATATAATCATCATTGGATATGCTTGAATCCTTGGATTCATGCTCTAACTCGTCCGATTTTGAGGCGACTCAAATCATCTTCCCAAAACTTAAAGTTTTAGGTTCATTTACACATCACTAGTTCCTCATTTCTGTCGATTATTATTCTTCCCATAGTTGTCAAGAATTCCAATAGCTAACCTCATCTTTTACTCATAACTCTACCCTTGTGTAATAATTTCCATTCCACACAATTAAGAGGAGAAGAGAAGAGAAAGCAGCAGAAGGGAGGAAGAAGAGAAGAGCACAAGTAACTAGGCATACATACACAAATATCCTTAGATTCAACCATCAAAGAGTAACGTTTTGATAACTTCATACTCAACATCATAACATCCAACAAACAAGTTATTTTAGGTCAGAGCATTACTTAGTAGTGCTATCAAACTTCCAAAATGCATCTTCTTCCTTCTTTTCCTCCACCACATTGCAGGGCCTGTTTCAAACACCCAACAGAAACAATGCATCATTTTCAACAATCAACAATACTAGTCAACTAAATATATGGTAACAATTGACTGAGGCAAGTTTCACTCACCATCCAGTTAGCTAGGGTTAGGGTTAATGGGATCAGGGCTATCCAGATTCTCCGCTGCCGCAAGGATCTGCAGCTTGCTTCTGCGATAGGTATTCAAAGCTTTTGCAGACTCGGTCAGCTGAAGGGCGCTAAACTCAAACGTCTGAAGCCTCGCGTCGGTAAACTCCTTGGCCCTCTTGAGCTCTTCGTGGCGGTGAAGATAATCCAACTTAAAACACTTTTCGTTTACGGTTTCTTCACCTCCAACTCCAAGCCGCGCGTCAGTCTCGGCTTGCAGCACCTCACGGGCTTGTTTCTTTTCTTCGAGAAGAGTGAGCACCCTGTGGTACTGGAGCGTGAGTTCGGCATCCGCCTTCGTCACAGCGTCGTGGTAGCTATGGATGGCGTCCATAGCTGAGTACCTGAACCCAAAAAAAAGAACAGCAGACGTCGATCAGAACCCAACAGCAACAACGAAAACCCTAGAAATCCACAAAACGGACGAGATTCAAGCTAATACGAGCATTACTCGTAAGAAGAAACCCTACAAAATGGCGATGAAGGAGAAAGCAGAGCAGGTGTGTTGAAGAAAGGGGGTCAAAGAAAAACACTCCTTCGGCTTTTATTTCTCCGCGTTGGTGGGTCTCAGCAGTCGGGTCTGATCTTTGGGCTTTCGCCACGGCGCATTGTTCTGGCCCACAGTGAAACACCACTCTTTCTTTTGCAAATAAGTCAATTTGACCCTTCAATTTCCGATTGAAGGAACTTTTTATTTACGATTTTTTTAAATACAATTTAATAGTCAAATATTTTATTTTAAACAAAATAATAGTCAAATTTTTTCTAAAACAATTTAATAGTCAAAATGTTAACTTTTCATCTCGTCAATTGTTAGTTGACTCTCACGTGGCAAATATGTTTACACGTCAGCTTGCATGTATATATTTTTTAATCTTTTATTGAATTATTATAAAAATATTAAATAATATTCAAAAGAAAAATATCGAGTCAATTGTGGTTCTCGTCGGTTTGTTGCGTTCGATGATTTTCGCGGGTTAAGGTACATCCTTTCTATCATGGGATCAATCAATTTGTAACCTTAGATACTAGATGGGAATAAGATTCCTTAAGGAGAGACAAAATATTATGCCGACTAGGACGATTGCTTGTGGTTGCATGATTTTTTTTTTTATCTTACATGTTTACTCTTGTTGCAAGAAAATAGTATATGTGAGCTACACTACAGGAAAAAGATCATTTAATCATGGAAAACTCATCCACATACGCGTGGGTTTTGGGTACCTATGGGTAATACTCGTCCTGTACTTCCAACATTAGTATAACTAAACTTTTATACGTAAATTTTCGATTATAACACTATACGCACCTACTATATCATGAAATTGACAAAAAATACAAACATTCTTAACAAAATTTCAAAGCATTTTATCCTAAAACATCCATTAATCCATAAGATAGTGTACAATGTAATCCAAAATTCCAAATCATTGTTCCCCGTCTCTAATACATCTAGGGGTCGTTTGGATTGAGTATTTGGGGGTGTTATTTGGGGTCAAATAACACAAAATCTGTTATTTGACCCCAAATAACATGTTTGGCTGACAAAAAGTGGGATGTGTTATTTGGATGTAGTGTTTTGCCAAATAACAGATTTGAGACCAAATAACACAAAAAGTGTTGATTGCCAAATACTTGGGAGGGGGCAGGTATTTGCCAAATAACAAGTTTGATACCAAATATCACATACCAAATAACAAGTTTTATATTATGTGGTATTTGTGTGGTAATTGGCCCCAAACAACAAGTTTGTCAAATGCTCAATCCAAACGACCCCTAGTGATAACTAACTGACATAATCTTATTACCCGAGGGAAAAAGCCAAAGAGTGATGTGAAAGTTGATGAAAAGGAATTAGGTTTAAATTTGGGTGGACACTCATTTGCATTTGTACTATTTACTTGAGTTACTCTAACTATCATTGATAGGTTAAAATATGATCCATATATTTTTCATATATGAAGAAATGCTCTTGATGATGTGGGTATGAGTATAAGATGGGAAGGCTAAAACCACACCCGTTCCATACCCATCAAATATTTTGCGGGTTTTACTCATACTCGCCTCATATCTAGTCAATGCGAGGATTACTCGCGTAGACTAGGTAAGGGACGATCAGATAATTTAATTGTCATCCCTAATTCAGGTGTTTCGTCTTTTGGTGTGGACTGTGGAGTGTCTGTCCGCACTAGTTCCTTTCCTCGCCGTCTCTTTTTCCTCTCGTTTACTCCCCTGAACTCTCTTTTGTGGGGTTCTTTGGTCGCATTTCAAGTCTTTCGTTTGGACTGGGCAGACTATCACTGTAAGTGGAGTGTTGAGTGTCCCAAAAAATTATCAATCACTAACAGAACTGCTACTAGATGGGTGAAGAAAGGGGAAAGTGTGTCGTCACTTAGATTCGAACCTGGAGGGTTTTAGGGTAAAAACCAGCAACACGACTACTCGGTCAAGATCTCGTTCGCCAATGTAATCTAAAAGCATGTTTCCTTGTGTTGATCCTCATAGTAACCAGTTGTCTGCCTTCGATGTAATGTACATATTCAAAGATCTGGCGTTCTCTATCACACAGAACAAGCCTAGTTGGAAATATAGGAGATAATAAAGAACAAGGGGGAAAAGGTACAGAAAAGCAAACGTTAAGCAACTACTTCAAGTTTCCATGTGGTTTACAGGGCAAAAAAGGGCTGCTGGGATGATGTGATGCCTAAGAGGTCCAATTTTTTTTAGTGAGGTTGCATCGAAAAGCAGTAGCAAGTCGAACTTTAAGAAGTTTTAGGGTTCTCTAGCTTGCATCTGCTTTGATCATCAAAGTAAATCATGCCACTGGGAGACAGAACAGAAGCCAGGCAAATCCTCGACTTCAAACATGTGTAATTTGATCATCAAAGCAAATCATGCCACTGGTGGTTTTTGAATGAGAAGTTAAAATGCCACCTCCATGGCCCTATCACTCGCACGTTGAAATCCCACAAGGGCAAACCAACAGCCTGCTAGACCATACCCTTTGCTGTTCATAAGCAGCGAAGAGGAACAGGAGCCTCATTCATTAAAAAGCCTCTGGATTACACTATCTTAAAGAGGTGTGAAAGGTCTCCGTGCAAATCTCTGAGAGCTAGATAACATTAGGGCCTAAAAGAAAAGGAATGTGTTCTTGTTGTTAAAATGTGCAGGTTCATTGGTCATTGAATTCTACGGCTTCCCTATCCCTATATCAGAACAATGAAGTAATTCCCCCCTCCCTACCAAGACCAAACACCACCTAGCTTCAATAAAAGAAATCCCTCCCACTTATACAACCATCAGGGCATTCAAAATTATATAGCATTTAGAGAAATAAGAACCACAACAAACTAAAACTATAAAAAGTATGCCTAGGTGCATGACTATCATCTCCAATAGGCATCATACATAAAGCAGATACTGCTAGAGAAGCCGATCAATTCACTGATCGCAAACAGTAGGGATCCAATTTTGGAACCCCCAAGTTTTGCTTGGAAAAACTATAACATTTGCAGCAGGGCTACCTTAGGTCAAAACATTACTTAATAGTGCACCAAACTCACATAAAAAACTATAACGTTTGCAACAGAGCTACCTTAGGTCATATCTTAGGCCAGAACATTACTTAATAGTGCTACCAAACTCACATCAAAAGGTCTTCTTCCTTCTTCTCCCACTCCCACACTGCCTGTTTCAAAAAGCACAACAATCAATTGTATGTACCGTGGTACCAATTTACTTGAAACAATTTCTACTCTTCAACAATGACCGAGGGAGAGTCACTTACCATTAGTCAGTTAACGTTGGACATTAAAGCCATCATGGAGTAGGGCTGTTAAGATTTTCTTGCGCCGCCAAGTATTCGAGTATTTGGTTGAAATCCATACAGAGATCAGCGATGGCGTTGGACAAGTTCAGGACGAGGGCGTCAAATAAGTCCAGACGCGAAGTCAAAACATCCTTGATCCGCCTCATATATCGGTGCTTCCTATTAAAGATGGTCCATGATTCCAATTGGAGATGCATTGGCACACCTCCATCGGGCGCCTGAGTGGCTTGCCAGTTTAAGAATGCCTCTTTCTTTGCGAGGCCAGCAGCATCAAAGTCTTTAAAGAGAGAGTCGATTTCCGAATTAATCTCAAAAAGGTATTCGCACTGTGGAAGGATGTCACCAGGTCCCATTGTTGAGTAATGGAGAAAGCAGGTAGCTGAGGGGAAATGGGATAAACAACAAATTCTAGCAATCAAATTCTCGTTTGTTCCTCAATAACAAAAGGGGCAAACAAATGATAAACAACAAGCAAATCATTCTCCTGCCGCAAACAACCAGAATGTAGAGGATGCAATCTGGGACAAACAACAACAAGAGTGCAACGAATTTCTACCAACGGAACTATGACATACAAAAATACAGCATCTCATACTCCAGGCAAACACCATTACTGCCAAATATAGAGCTGTGCACTGAACCCTTGAAACATACCAAGCACATGATGAAGCTTCAACTCAAAACAATGGCGCGAGACTAACCATTTCACTAAGTCTATCAATCCAAATAGCTAATAACAAAAAAAGTCCTGCCCCAGCAAGCTATCTAAGAAATCACTTTCACTCCAGTATCAGGGAAGCCTAATAATGGAATACCAAAGATGGAAACAAATTTCAATCAGCAAATTACCTATCACCAACAGGTTTAGTAAAGATCTGCAGCAGGGTGCCCCGACTTCTCGGTCGCCGGCTGGAGGAGGAAGAGGCGGGCAGGAGCTTCGGTCGCGGTACGGAAGAGGATTCGACGTCCTCTCGATCGCGGCACAGAGGAGGACGAGTTCTCCGGCTGGATCTTCCCGGTCGCCGGCTGGATGAGGAAGAGGCGGCTGGAGTTTTGCTGGGAGAAGGATGAAATCGAGTTTGGGTGGAGGCGGCCGCTTTGCTCGATGGAGAGGGGAGAAAATGTCGATGGAGGCTAGAGTTACAGAAGCCAAACGGAGCCGTTTGGGTTGCCCTAGGTCAGACGACTCGGGCTTAAATTGGGCTTTCAACCCGAAATCTGCAAATAAGGTCGCACTGCTTTCTTCTCGATGGGCTTTTGACAAAAGAATTCTAAAATGGCCTTATGAAAAGAATGCCAAAGCCCTTATTCTATGCAGATGGGCCAAGCAACATAGTCGGGTCAAGAACCCGAGACCCATCCCGAAAGTCATAAACCCCGAACCGCCCCTCTCACCGGTTCTCTCTCCCCTTTCTGCCAAAACCCTAGAAAGCCGTCTTCATTACGGTGATCCAGTGGGCAGAAGGAGCAGCCATTGATTCCGTCACTTCCTTCTCCGCCGACCAAATTCGCCGGGTATGATATCCTATCGCCCTGCTCTATCCGGTCCCGTCTCGGCCTATCGCTCCGATATTGCTTCTTTTCTTTTCCTTCGAATTCATCTCGTCTTGTTGAGCGATTATGTTTCACGTCGCTTCCGTCTTAGCGAGCATCGGGACTCTGATTGGTGTCTAGGGTTCTGTTTCTCTTTAGATTCATGTAGTATATTAACTTCATTTGATTTTGAAGTGTTCAACACTTGATGCTTGGTCCTCCGAATTCTGTAATTGTGATTGCTAGCTTGACAGAATGATTCGCAGTTGCTGTATCATGTATGTATGTCTTTTGCTGAATCAAGCTGTTTCTTCTTGTTTTGTTGGTTCCAGTTTCCCCGGTTGGCTCGTTAAATAAGAGATACCATGAGATTGGAGTTTTGCTGGTTTTGCTCTTCGAAGATCTATCCTGGGCATGGTATTCAATTCGTTCGCAACGATGCCAAGGTCAGTTCTTTACCTTCTTTTCTGACTACATGCACTAGTACTAGCCGCAGAGTTCTTCATGTGCTGCCATTTATTTTTGTGAATGCTTGTTTGTCTAAACATTGAATAGGGGACTTGGTTAGAGGATTGATTTTGTCTAATTTGTGCGACTGCAGCTTAGTATCAGCCGCGAACGAATTGGATGCTTAAGCATATAGTGTGATTTTGTTCTTAGCAGTTTGAGTACTTTCATTCGATTTGGTATCCTTACGATGATGAAATTTCTGAACCAAGTTTATAACTACTCTTTTTCCTCTTGCAGATATTTAGATTCTGTAGGTCTAAATGCCACAAGAACTTTAAGATGAAGAGGAATCCTCGTAAGGTGAAATGGACCAAGGCCTATAGGCGGTTACACGGGAAGGATATGACAAAGGTAACAAAATTTGCACCTATTCCTTTTCCACCCTTACATTCTTCTCCCTCTTTGAAGAATCGGCTGATGTCTGTCTGCCTTATGTGCTTGTTGTTCATACCCTTTTTTACATTGTGTAGGATTCAACCTTTGAGCTGGAGAGGAAGAGGAATAGGCCCGAGAGATACGACAGAAACGTTATGGAGAATACCCTAAAGGCCATCAAGAAGATTGACAAGATCAGACACGACAGGGCAGCTGATCATATTGCACAGAGGTTCGACATCCAGTTCCTTGCTGTCACAGCAATCAAACTACTTCAGTGTTCCGTTTCCCTCTATGTAGTAATACGCTCTCACACTGGTAATTCTATGCGCAGGTGGAAGCCAAAGGCAGCCAAGGAGCGCAGAGAAGCAAGGAAGGAATTGGAACAGAGCATCAGCTTGATCAAAGCTCCTCTCGCCATTCAATCACAAGAGCCAGCGATCACAGTCCCGAAGATCAAAGTCAAGGCCCCCAAGCAACAGACGGTCGAGGACCAACTCATGGAAGAGTAACTTCTATCGGTGCCTTTCGTTGCTGCGCTTTTGCTTTTCCCATTGGAGAAGGGCTGAGATTTTGCTCTATCCAGTGTGTTGAGCTGTTCTTGTTCCAGTGTAGCTGTGTAATTCCTACCAAGGTTTTGTTAGTCTCTTTTAGTTGGTGCCCTTCTTGTTTTGAGATGATGTTCAATGGCAAACCTTTATGTAGAAAATTTTGAGACGATGATACTGATATTACATTCATATGAATCATATCAATCGATAAATCTCACTCATTGTCTCGAGGCAAACGTTTGGGCCGGGCTCTGTAATCCCCTTGGAGCAACGGTAACCGCTAAATCCAGCGGGCAGCGGCCCAACAACTGGAAGATGATTAAGAAAGATTCCGTTTGGCAGAACAACTGGAGTTAGTTTTGGTAGGTTCTAACTGTAAGGAAATATTGAACTAGATTCAAGAAGGACAAGGAGAACAACAAGACAATGGAACCCTTATTCAGTACCATCGCTCGATAATCTGTACTTTCAGTTGGTGAAATCTAACTTATGAACCAAGTTTGGTCACTTTCATGGCTGTGTGAAGGCCAATTCCTGAGGTTGAAAACTCTGACAAACCCTTAAAGTGATTCTTTTCTCTTTTGGCCATTAGCTTTTTTTAAGTTTGGCTATTCTGCAGAATGGGTAGCACCCAGTCTTCTGATTTGTGATCAGGTGGCTGTATTGCACATGGGATGAAAGAAAATAAACGAGAATTTGTAGTGTGCGCGCTTCTCGTGTGTATCACAACCATCTGATTAGTGATTGAATCGCTACGCTAAGAAGGCGCAAACACACTTAACTCTACTCAATTCAACAGTAAACTTATGTTGCAGTTTTTTCTTAACAATTCTCAGTTTCTTTCTTCTCGTGTGTATAACAACCATCTTATTAGTGATTGAACCGCTACACTAAAAAGGCTTGAACACGCCTATGTCTACCCCCATTCAACAGTAAACTTGTGTTGCAGATTTTTCTTAACAGATCTCAGTTTCTTTCTTTTGGGTTTTATACAATCAGGGACAGCTGTTAACTTAATCTTCAAGAAGCAACAGTTGTGATGATAATGAAGTATAGTAGGGAAGTTTGTGTGTGGAATTTGAAGTGTCACTTTCATTTGATTATAATTCCATTTGTCAAACAGTGGAATGAACATCAGGACAAGTTCCCAGAAGCTACAAAAAATCCTGTCAGATAGATTCTACTTTGCTGTATCTAACTTGGTTAGTCTTATGGTTGACCTGATATAGTTTAATCACATCATGACAGGGCTTGCTCCCTGGCCTATCACCTTTTTTTTAATGTTATATTACTCCATTTGCACATTATTTTGGGTTCTATAACATGTAGTTTAATCACATGTAGTTAGTTGAGCTAAAATCACATTAAGTTGGGTACTTAGAAGTGTCAAGTGGATGTTAGTTTAGAAGTGTCATTTCATCATCTCCAATAATGAATATAGACAGGGGTATCAGTTCGGTTAACCGAAACCATTAGAAATCGAAACTCAAATTACTCAATTGTCAAAACCGAAGCCTAACCTTTAATCGAGTTAGGACTTACCTATTTTTTTTTTTTTTTGGTTTATTAATGAATTTAATCGGAACCCATAAGCCTTCTATTTATTTGTTTATCAAAAGTTGGGCAATATTTTGAATTTATTTATTTGTGCTCTTTTCACTCATTTCTGATGGAAATGGAGATGCCAAACGATCTTCAATGGGAATTTCTTGGTATTGTGTAAAAGCCAAGAAATTGATTCTCTCCCACTCTCTTTTTGACAGCTACCCTTTTTGCTTTACCAATGATTCCTTCCCATCGATGAACATGGATTATTGTTGTAGTAGCAGTTTTGAGCCCTCACAGCTACAGTAAAAAAACAGTAATTAACAAAGGGATTAGCCTAATGGATTGGGAACTCTCTCCTTAACAGAGATTTCTGGTTTCAGGAACAACAAAGTTTGAAGCTTTAACAGAGATCAATCATGGTGGATATATGTGTGGGGATGTTGTGCAGTTTTCTGTGGTGTTGAATCTGCTTCCATTCCAACTTGCTGATAAAGATTGCAGCTTTTTCTTTGCTTTTTCTTCCTTGTGGGCTGTGGCTAATGATTTCCTTTGTTGGTGGTGTCTACTTGCTATACCAGCTACATTCTGAGCTCCACTGCAAATTCTTTAGCGTTGGAACCTCCGGTTCTGGATGATATATTCTGATTTCTGAATACAATATTTTTTTTCCAGAATGTATGTATTGATAATACATCTTGTACTCTTCATTCATAGAAATAATGTATTATGAATCTCAATTTTATATTCATGTTCCAATCCGTGTTAAATGCCCATGTTTTCATATATATATACGGTAATGACTATTTATTAGCTAAACCTTTTTCGGATTTTTTTTTAATTAGCCAAACTTATCGAAATACTAAGAATTAGCCAAATGTTAACTTCAAGTTAGCAATTTTGTTAGTAATATTGACTTACCAACATGATACTGACTTGGAAGAGAGAAATGAAGGTCAACATTCCAAAAAATTTCGTATTTTAACTAAGAATAGAGTTACAAAATTATTAACGATAACGTAAAAATGGCTAATATTTTGATGCATTACGAAAGATTTGGCTATTTAATAGATTTGGATAATATAAAAGAATCTGAAAAAGGTTTGGATAAAAAATAGACATTACCCTATATATACTAAACAATGTCTTCTTAGAAAAAACATATTAGTATGTACATAACCTTAATATATGCATTATAGGAATACACTATTTCTAGAGTCGAAAGTTCCGAAACGATCCCTTCCTGTTTCTGCTAGCCAGTCTTGCATTTGAGCCAAGAATTTTTCATATTACGATGATAGAAACATCACCATATATGATATGAGCCAAGAATTGGGAAGCATAACATGAAAAAATGACATTTGAGTGAGAAATTATGAAGTTGGTTAGCTAATTTATAGTCGACAATGTTAGCCTCCCTACAGAATGTACTTTTTTCAGCCTTTTACACGTCATCAATATTGATACGATTCGACAATTCAAATTCGAAACTTAATCCAATTGGCCTTGCATGCATGATTTCACTAGCTTTTGTTGATTGCTATGCTAGTGGCCTTGAATCCCACCAAGTACATTATTTTCAAGTGTGTTGTTTTTAAATTTTTAGTACCCTCTTGCCTCTTGGAGTATTCATTATATTTATATGGGCAGATTTGCAAGTCATATTCATAGCACAGTTTACCTGGCCATATCATGAGAGAGCAAGGGGGACATTGGCCCTAGTGTAGGTCAATTCTTTGTTTTGTTTGGAGGGTCCAGAAATGAAAGAGAAGTAATAACTATACTGATAATAATACCCAACATTAGCTGTTGTTCCATGTTGTAAGGGACAGACTTACCCCATGCTCCATTTTGCACCTATCCATTCCTTCTCATTCAATGCTTTTTTTTCCACTCATCATCATGATCAGCAAGAGGCAATCATCCTAAGTAGTTTTTTGGTTTAATTTTCTGGTTCCCGTTAAGTAAATCAATACATTTATTCACAACGACAACAAACACGTATGTCTATTAGGCATAATGTTCTCCACAATGACAATAATATGATTTGAACAATAAATCTTTTGACCCAAAATCAAAACATTTCTCGTGAGTAAGACCCACGATAAGTGAAGCACAATTCTCTTCATTCGGATACCGATGAAAATTTTGAATCACAATTCCTTCCGTCCAAAATCTATGCCTTTTTACAGTTCACAATTCTCCTTATATTGCATGATCTTTCTGCCATGTTTCTTCATTTGGTTTGGGGCCCCTTGGGATCTGGCTTTTGAATACATGTATAGCTCCATTGGAAGATCATTTATAAGCCACATTCTTTTCTTGTTTGTGTCCTTTTGCTCCATTTACTCCTTTCACCTGCCTGCCCAAGGATCTCACTTTAAATCTGCTGACAAAAAAACCAAAGTTCCAAACAATTAATTAGAGTTGTTTAAGGATTTTGATCAATGCTTTCCTGCCCTTAATTGAAAGGGCATGGAAGAGGACTATTGACCTACAACTCCAGCATGATTTGATTATTAATGACCATGGGGCTATGTATTGCATTTAATATATATATATTGGACATGGTCTATTTTCATTTATTTCCAACTGCTGCTACATGATGCTCTTGAGTCTTGTGTTTAAATCATCACTTTGTAATTTAATATTGTGGCTGTTATGAGAATTAAACTAACATTTCAATATATCTGCAATACTTCGTTAGAATGTCATTTTTCGCTCCATTTGTTTTTTTTAAACAACAACTGATTTGGTTATAATAATGTGTCTGGAGAGGCCGGACACTGAACAACCATTAGACTAGTTCAGAATAAATTTCGTATTTTCTTCTCTTCAATGTGACCCCAGACTCGTCGAGTGCATTAGTTCACAATGTTATTAATCACAACATGCTAGTGAAATTTCGTGGAATCCTTGATGGTCAATGGTATCATTCTTAAAGAAAAAAGCTTCATTAGAGAAAGAAACACGATTTTATTGAAGATACTTGTGGATATCATGAGGAGCAACATTAGATTTATGATTTCTTTTCATTAGCGTGTCTTCATCTCACTGAGAGATAGATCTTTAAACGAATTACTTATTATCCATCAAATCATCAACTCGAGAAGGCTATGAGGAATAAAGTGTTTAAACTTTGCATCAAGAAAATCTATGACCAGCCTTCAAGATCAAATCTGAACTTGTTTTAGGGCAACTCACATAATTGAGCTTTTTTGCAAAGCAAATCCTTATGCTTTTGATATGGCATGCTTCTAATCATTGGTGTTGTTGTCTCTTTGCACTAACTATAGGAGCAGTTGGTGGATATAATTAACAGTTACACCAGTCTCATCATTATCTCAATCTCACTTTGATCTACTGCAAATAATTATTACTTTCCATTACCATTTACACAACAGATTGTCTGCAAAAGCATGCTTGCGACTTAGATTATGTCCAAATCTCTTTTGTTTCCCCCTTTTACTTGAGAATTATTGGATTACATTGTCTGCCTCATTATTAATACACAGATATTGGGGAATTTGATCTCCAATTGTTCTCTACCAACTAGTTATCTTCTTAATTATGCTGAAGGAAAAAAAAAAAAAAAAAAAGAGGTTCTGTTCTTGATTACCACTACTCTGTAACAAAAAAAAAAAAAGAAGAATCAAATAATAGTGGAACCAAGATCTTCATCTACAGTATACAGATGGGCTTTGCCTCCTGCAGACTCCAGCTCCATGTCCTCATTATTTATATGATGGTGTTTTTAAAAGAAATATGGTACTTCATAATTTTGAGTAAAACTCAACAAATTTAGCTTTAATTTTACACTTTTGCGCTATCTTTTTACCCATGAGGCCATGACATTCATCACTCATTTCATTTATACTCTTTTATACGCTTGTTCCATACATCAACATCATGTGAGAATAGAAGATGTTATTCATCACACTACTCTCAAGGTGTATTTCATACCTGGTAGGTAACTAGGACGGGGAAGGATTCGAAGACTGAGGAAAAAAGGAGGATCATTCGTAAAAATGAGGAAATGGAAGAATGATAATTATTTTTGTATAGTTCACATACTCAAGGGTTTGTCTGATTCTCGATTTGACATTTACAAAGTCTTAGACAAATTTGAATTTGTCTAATGGTTTGATGGTATGGTTACTCATGCCTAGTGTGAGTTAAAGCTTTTTTTTTATGAATGTTGTAGGATTTTATTGCAAAGAGACATAATATGTGTGAATCAAATCCACAATAGTACAAAGAAATGTTACAGTGAGTTACAAAACATAAATGTTTGGGAGCTAAAATAAAATCTCATAACGAATTTAGTTTACTGGTTCGCTTGATTCAAATGGCCGCTAATGCTTCACGAGGCTGGAAAGATTGAGAAGTCTGTGATCCATGAAGTACATTGTAGAAACTTCGCTAGTGAGTTTATGTTAAAAACTGTTGATGTGACTTAAATCAGACAATCAACCGCTACGATTGAAACTGGAAGTCACGGTATATAGGCTCAATGTTATTTGGGTTTGGGTTCTGAGCCTGGTTGTAACGTCTTTTCATTTACCAAATTGGATTAGGGTTAGACCTAGGAGAAGTACTATAAATACTTCTCATACTCCTCTGTAATCTGTATCTTCTTGAAGTATGTATAGTGAAAACTGGTTCTCTCCTGCTCGTGGACTAGCTAACACACATTGTGTTAGTGAACCACGTAAATCGTGTGTCTGTTTTCGATTCTCGCTTTCTCGATTCTGACGATTTCCCGATCCATAAAAGCGTAATTATATTAAAAAACCTGACATAGGAATCTGGTTGACGTGCGGCAAGTAGTTGAAAAATTGGGAGCCAATCTCTATGCGCGGGTAAACGACATCCTGCAGAGTCTGATTAGCTACAAGACACATTGTTTTGTTCATGTGCTCAACTGGTTATCTACATGTCTTGTATATTAACAACCAGTTAGCTTTTTAGAACCACGTGTTTGTTTGACATAGGCAAAGAGTGGTTTGTTTCGTTAGATTTGAAATGCAGGTTTTGGATAAAATAAATACTATAATTTTTATAATTTTTAGGATGGTTTTATTTTTACTATGAATTTGAAGAGTTTATTTTTTTCATGATAGATTTGATGATATAATTATGGTGGATTTTATTATATATATAACTAGCTATTAAGGATTTACAAATCTCACCTCAATATGTGGGATTTGCAACTCCTCGGAGATCACGAATTTAGAGATTAAAAATGACCTAATCCATGGACTCCACGGATTTGACTCTCAACAACAAGCAATAAATTTGGTGAAAATTCATCATTTTAGGGATTTGAATCCCAATTTCATGACTCAAATCCAACAAGCAAACAACCTCTAAAAGATAATTAAGTTTGATAGCTTCAAGTAAATCCACAAAAGACAATGAATCGTAAAAAAAAAAAAATTCATTTAGGAAATATGCACGTTGCAATTCCCTTATGATTAGCACCATACCCGCTCCGAATTTATCTACATGGTGAAGTAGTTAATAGGTTCTTGTGAATCTCACGTACACACAACACATTATTTTGATTCAACTTGTTCTCGTACATACACCATGTTCAAGATCACTCTATAATAAAAGTTGCTTAGAAGTAAGATTGAATGGAGAATTCTAACAGATAAATTTGATTCAATTAGCTCGTTCTGAAGAAACCAGGCCAAATTGACCCCTTTGGCACCACAAAATTTGGAAGAAGCAATTTGGCCTAAGAAATAACTCATTTTGAGACAATTACAATTGTCTAGGATGAAGACAAGTAATTCGAATTGACTCGTTTTAAGTAACCCACTTTGTAAAATGAGACAATTAATCAAACTATCTCGTTTTCCAATTGATCAAATCCACACGAGTACTAAAAGACAAGGATTGTAAAACCGTATCAGAGATTGTACCAAAAATTTAAAGTTGAAGTTTTTATGCTGAAACTATATTTTAATTTGATTCGACCATTTCATACCGCTCAAACTCATCTGATACTCCGAGATTTTTTTTTTCCAGGTTCAACCAACGATTACTTTACATAGTTAGCTAGGGGTGGGCAACGGGAAACGGGTATTTGGGTATACCCGTACCCGTCCCGTTTTTTAAGGGTTACGGGTACCCAAATACCCGTAATATTTATTATGGGATGAGATTTGGGATTAAGAATTTCAATATTGGGTACCCGCGGGTTACCCGCTAATACCCGTTTGGGTAATACGGGTACCCGTAATACCCATTATGATTTATTTCCTAAACAAATACATTATCAATACATAATCAATTACAGATAGCTTTAATATACTTTCAATAATAATGTATTATTATGGCTCTGATGCTTCAACAATAATTCCAGTAGGCAACCATCTATATGTTGCCATTGCCAACGTGGGGATTCAAGAACTGGGGCATCCAAGGCTGGAAAAGGAACCAATTTGCTACTGCTGTTTGTTTGTTTCTCTTCACCATCACGCTGCAGCTTGTGTTAATCCATAGACATGGTACCGGTTCTAAGGAAATACTTAAATACCTTGACAAATCTGGCATCAAATTCTTGACCATATTTAATGAAAAATAGTGAAATTCTCAAGTTCAATCCACCTTAACGTGGCACGGCTATTCAGATCATCATCTTAAACTACCAAACTTCAAATTGTTCCTTGTTCATCAGTCTGCTAACCGCAGTTCTATTGTTGACTTGTTGTTAAAAAAAAAAGAAGCCGAAGAAAAACCCAAATAATAAAAATTATCTAAATTTACGGATTACCCGCGGGTACCTGTTATCCGTCCCGTACGGGTAATGGGTACCCGTTTACCCATACAGATTTGGGACATGGGATGAACTTTGGCCTCCAAACGGGACTGGGTACCCGTTTCAAACGGGACGGGTATCCCGTCCCGTTGCCCACCCCTTGTTAGCCATGGATGGGGAAAAAAAAAAAAAAAAGACACACACAAAAAGCCAAAAGGAAAGACGGTTATAACAAAAGCACAGATTACTCCCTCCTTTCCCAACCACATTTAATTAAACCCTTTCCCCTTCTTCTTCTCCCCCATTTCTCCCCCACGCTCCCACATTTTCCTCTTCCGCCCTTCAGTTACTCTGAAACCTCCGCCTCCATTATTGTCTCAAACCAAAAACCCAATCCCACAGTTTCCTTCCCCTCCACCACAATGAGAGACTTCGTGTCCTGCTTCAGCGAAAACGCCATCAACGTCGCCGCCTCTCAACAAACCCACCACCACTACTCCTTCTCCTGCTCCTCCTCCGCCGCCGCCGCCGTCGCTCGTTCCTCCGATTCCACCCCTTCCGTACAGAATGCCGTCTCTTCCCTCTACCGAATCACCCTCTCCACCCACAAGAAACCCTTTCACTTATCCGTCACATGGGCCGCGGACTGGCTCACCATCTCCTCCGGCCAATCATCCACCTTCAAGCTCAACACCAGCTCCGGCCTCTTCCGCAGGAAGAAGGGCAGCCGGTCAATTGACGCCGCCGCCGGCGGCGGCCCCGATTTCAAATTCGATGTCTACTGGGATCTCTCCTCCGCCCGCTACGACGCCGCCGGCCCGGAGCCCCTCGACGGATTCTACGTCGTCGTAGTTGTCGATTCCGAAATTGTCCTCATCCTCGGCGATTTGGCCGACGAATCCACCGTTCTGCCCAAGAAATTGCTGAGGACGGCGGCCCCGGCCTCCGCCGCGAAATCGAGCTTGATTTCGCGGCAGGAGCATTGTTCGGGGAGCACCCTGTACTCGACTAAAGCTCAATTCTGCGAGACAGGGGGGCAGCACGATATCCTGATTAAATGCAGCGGCGGCGGCGGCGACGGAGGGGAGAAGGAAGGGGTGAAACAGAGGAACCATTCCCCTGTTTTGTCAGTTTGTATTGATAAGAAGGTTGTGATTCGGGTGAAGAGATTGCAGTGGAATTTCAGGGGGAACCAGACGATTTTCGTCGATGGGTTGCTGGTGGATCTGATGTGGGACGTACATGACTGGTTTTTTAACCCGGCGGCGGCGGCGGCGGCGGCGGTGTTTATGTTCCGGACGAGGAGTGGGATGGACAGCAGGCTGTGGCTGGAGGAGAAGTTAGCGCAGAAGGAAGAAAAACTTCAGCAGCAGGAAAAACAGCAGCAGAGAGTTGAATTCTCGTTGCTGATTTACGCCTGTAAGAGCCCTTGATATGAGCTTCCATGGAAGGGGAAAGTTATTTACTTTTTGACTGATTTGGGTTTCCCTTTTCCTTTTTGGGTTTTGGGTTCTCTTCTGTTTCTGCTTGGAAGAGAAGGGCCATAGCTAATCTGATAAAAAAGAACAATTCTTTTGGATAAATTTTAGTAATTTGTAGATTTGTGGGGAGCTTGAGATATGCAGATTATGTGAAGAACCTTGACGATATCTTTTTTATTTTCCCTTTCTTCTTCTTTGGTTTGCCAACACAGCTGAAACAGAATTCCCCTGTTTTTCTTTTTCCCCAACAGAACTGTTCTGTGACTCTGTTTTCATCTTTGTCATGTAGCTGGAAATTTCCTCTGTTTTTTATGAGGATATGTGGAAGGCGAAAAAGTTAGTCTCCTAACAGGCCATTATGTTAGGAGATACTGATAGGGTCAGATTTTGGGCCACGTGTGCTTGGGCTTCATCCAATGGAGGAGAGTGGTGGCTCACTTAAATGAGCTGGAGATGGGCTTCCGTGTAGAAGCCGGCGCAGAAGGCGAGCCGAGTTCGTGGCTGGTGGGCCAGGGATCAGTTTGGGCGGGATTTTGGTTTGGAGTGGAAAGCGTGGTGGGCCCGGCTTCAGTTTGGGCGCCAGTTTTGGGTTGGAGTGGAAAGAGAATGAAATTTTTGGGCCCCATGTGATATATATGTATGTTTGTTTGGATATTTATTTGTTTTCAGTGGATATTATTATGTGTTATGTTGATATTACTTTGAATCATTGTGAAGGATTGGAATATTGTTTCTTACATCAAATTAAACACACTAGGAAATTAAACACACTAGGAAGTCCTAACACGTAAGGCTTGCAACCTTAGTTAGGGCTGCCCGCCGAGGGCCCATGGGCCGAAGGCGGAATATTGTTTCTTACATCAAATTAAACACACTAGGAAATTAAACACACTAGGAAGTCCTAACACGTAAGGCTTGCAACCTTAGTTAGGGCTGCCCGCCGAGGGCCCATGGGCCGAAGGCCCATTAAATAATAATAGTTTTATAGTTTAGAGTTTGTGTTACGGTTTTATGTTAAGGGTTTAGGGTATAGCTTAGGTTTGAGTTGATATTAGTTCATGTTTTCGAAATTTTCTTGGACTTTTGGATATTCTAATAGGGTTAAGGATTTAGTTTTTAGCGATTAGGGTTTCGGGTTTAGAAGGCAATATTGTGAAAATGGTTTTGAACACAATGTAGGGTAGTCGATTTTTGTCTGTGGTGATAAAATATTACTATGTGATCGGAGGATATTAGTTGGCGATGTGTGGATATTTTGGCTGTGTAGCAGGATATTAGTTTGTAACCGATGGATATTAGTTAGGGTTGGTGAGGATATTTATTATGGGCAAAACGAATATTAGTCTGGGTGTTGCAGATATTTTTTATGGTAGGAATGAATATTAGTCTGGGTGATGTGGAAATTTTTTTATGTAGTACGGATATTGGGGCACTTCTGGTAACTATTCAGATGTGATCCTTTGTTTATTTTAGCATCTAGCATCACACACTTAGCCAACCATATTACACCAATTTACGGTTTAGTGGTTAGGATTTAGGGTTAAGGATTTAGTGTTTAGCGATTAGGGTTTAGAGTTTATGTGTAGTTGGTATTAGTCTGCGATGGTCAGATATTAATTTGTGAGAGGTGGGTATTAGTATGTGATGGACAGATATTAATATGTGTATGGTGGGTATTAGTTTGCTAAGGTGAGATAATAGTCTGGGTAGTTTGGATATTTGTTCTGTGTGGATGTTTATCTACTGATTTGTATATGATTACATCAATTTAGGGTTTAGTGTTAGGGTTTTGACTTTAGGGTTTAGAATTAGGGTTTGGAGTTTATGATTTAGGATTTGACTTTGGGGTTGAGGTTTAGAGTTAAGGGTTCAGGGTTCAAGCTTTGTGTTTAGTGTCTACGATTAGGGTTTCAGGTATAGGGTTTGAGTTTTGGTTTCGGGTTTAGAAGACAATGTTGTGGAAATGATTTTGAACACAATGTAGGGTGATCAATTTTAGTGTGTGGTGATAAGATATTATTATGTGATTGGAGGATATTAGTTCATGATGTGTTGATATTTTTGCTGTGTAGCCGGATATTAGGCTAAGACATCCATATATTAATCTGTGTGTGGTGGGTATCAGTCCGTATGGTGAAGATATTGATTACGGGCTGACTCGATATTGGTATTAGGCGGTGGGATATTAGTCTGGGTGTTCTGGATTTTGTTTATGGTGAACGGATATTATTCTGGGTGGTTTGCATTTGTTCTTTTTTTTTTGGATGTTTATCTATGTTTGTTTGTGTTGATATTTAGTTTAAGCAAATTCATAATAAAACAAAGTCGTTTTTCGATAAACTGCGATACAACTAGTATTTATTGTCATTCCAACTTGGCAATCCCATAATCTAAAATCTAAAAAAGTATAACTACATAAAAAAATAGAAAAGGAATAGTTCAAATGTTGTCTTGCTTGTGCAAATTCTCGATTATCTTCTTTCTCATGTCCCTCCGAGCCCCCCACGTTTCGATCATGCCACGACGAGGTTGGGATGATCCTTCTCTTGGATATTTGTCTTTCTTGGATATTTGTCTGTGTCGTTTAGATATTTTTCTGTGTTGTTTGGATATTTGTGGAGATACTGACACGGCCCAGTGGAGTTTTGTGGGTTTTTTAGCCCAGCTGAGATGAAAGATGGAGCTGATGGTGGCGGCTTAGTAGGGTTTAGGTGGCAAGGGGGGAGAAATGGAAAGAAGGGGCCCAAGTGGGTCATTTATCTTGGTGCAGCTACTCGTGCAGCAACTTCAGCATCTTCTTCCTCATCCTCCTCTCGCAATGGCGGTGGATTACGTCGCGCTCTCTTCGTGGTTCGCGAATTTCTGGCCATTGATAAATCGATGCATAAACAAATATACAGATATATCAAACAAATATCTAGATAAATTAAACGAATATCCAGATAAATCAAAACAAATATCCAGATATGCCAAACAAATATCCAGATAAATCAAACAAGTATCCCGGTATGTCAAACAAATATCCAGATATTTAAAACAACTATCCAGGCAAGTAACAACTGATATCATGCTTGTCAAAACCAATATCCAGATATATATATATCAAAGAAACAATCCAAGCAAAATAAATAATATAAATCAAACGAATATCCAGATAAATCAAACAAATATCCAGATATGCCAAACAAAAATCCAGATAAATCAAACAAATATCCCTGTATGTCAAACAAATATCCAGATATTTAAAACAACTATCCAGGCAATTAACAACTGATATCATGCTTGTCAAAACCAATATCCAGATATATATATCAAAGAAACAATCCAAGCAAAATAAAATATATAATGTCCGAAATCTATACCTCCGATTTTTCCGACCTCGAGCTGCTCCTTGTGCAGCTGTTTCTGCTTCGACTTCATCATCTTGTTGTGCAGCTCCTTCTGCTTCGGATTCAGCATTTTCTTCTTCCTCATCTTCCTCTCGCTGTCGCGGTGGTGGTGGTGGAGGGGGTGAAGTCGGTGGCGCTCTTTTCCCGCTCGTTTTAGTCTTTGTCATAGATAAATCACCTGCAAAGACAAATACCCAGATCCAATAAAACAACTATCCAGGAAAGTGAAAACTAATATCATGCTCGAACAAAACCAATATCAATAGAAACAGAACTAATATCGGCACAAACCGAACTAATATCGACACGAAAAAAACTAATATCGGCACAAACCGAACTAATATCGACACAAACCGAACAAATATCGACACGAACAAAACTAATATCGGCACAAACCGAACTGATATCGACACAAACAGAACTAAATATCGACACAAACAGAAATAAAACAACTATCCAGGAAAGTGAAAACTAATATCATTCTCGAACAAAACCAATATCAATAGAAACAGAACTAATATCGGCACAAACCGAACTAATATCGACACGAACAAAACTAATATCGGCACAAACCGAACTGATATCGACACAAACCGAGCAAATATCGACACGACCAAAACTAATATCGGCACAAACCGAACTGATATCAACACAAACAGAACTAAATATCGACACAAACAGAAATAAAACAACTATCCAGGAAAGTGAAAACTAATATCATGCTCGAACAAAACCAATATCAATAGAAACAGAACTAATATCGGCACAAACCGAACTAATATCGACACGAACAAAACTAAGATCGGCACAAACCGAACTGATATCGACACAAACCGAACAAATATCGACACGAACAAAACTAATATCGGCACAAACCGAACTGATATCGACACAAACAGAACTAAATATCGACACAAACACAAGCCATTCCACAAAACCCAGAAACAAAATCCACAGAAGAACGCAACCATGCAAACCTAACTCAAAGCTGTCCAATCGAAAACTAATATCCACCAAACTATGCTTAAAAACTTACTTGATCAAGAACCCGAGTCACCTGCAAACCGCCGCCGCCGAGATCGCCGCTTCGTCGCCGCCGACAAGATCGATGCCGCCGAGATTGCTGCCGCCGAGTTTGCTGCAGAGTCGTCGCCGCCGAGATCTCCGAGTTAGTGCAAGGTCGCCGCCGTCGAGATCTCCGCCTTCGCTGCAAGACGTCGCCGCCGATATCTCCGATTCGCAGCAAGGTCGCGCCGCCGAGATCTCCTCCTTCGCTGCAAGGTCGCCGCCGCCGCCTAGATCGTCGCCGCCACCAGACTTTGCTGCCGCCTAATTCGACGCCGCCGAGTTCCAATCACCGCGGGTCGCGACGTCTGCGTTCGGGAGAGGAAGAAAGGCAGAGGAAAGGGAGAGAGAAACGGGGGGAGAGAGAGGGGGGAAACTGATTTGGGGAAAGTGATTTGGGTTAGGGTTTAGGATATTTTTTTGACCGGGTTTTTGAATTAGTGGGCCCGGCGGGCCCCGCCAGCCGGAGTGGGCTTGGCCAAGCCGATGGAATCGGCTCTCATCTCTCACACGGGCCAGCGCGTTTCTCCTCCACCGATGGATGGCGGCTTGGCGACGTGGAGGCCCATCCACCCATGTCAGTATCTCCTAACAAAATACCCTGTTAGGAGCATAACTAGATTGTGTGGAAGGGAGTTTGTTTGCCATATTAGACTGCAACTGTGTGCGATTTCAATGGCGCTTATGCCAAGCCTCATGTCCACAGTAGCTTACACAATGTAGCAATGGAATATGAATGATTGGTTTGGTTGAAATTATCGCAAAAAAGAGTAGAGAGATGGTACCCAGTTCAGCTTTCAATGAAAATTTGATAAAAAGGAAGCAGATCTAGATGAAGATTTCCACCCTCACCCTCACCCACATTACACTCTACAATTCCATTCCATCCGGACAATCGTTATTATATACGTATCGATTGTGCGATCCTGCCTATGGCGATCCGATCATCCCACTCAGGCGCTTTCAGTCGTGTTCGACGCACATCTCAAGACGAAGAAATTCGAAACAATCGCGCAACACAGCTATAGCCAGAGTCAAACTGGGTGCCAGATTGATCCCAAAAAATGGGGCAGCAGAATCAATACTTCCCACTAATGAAGAAAACATCACTACTTGCCTTTGGTTCTGCACTTGTCTTTCTCATTCAAGTGGTAGAGAGAAAATGATGTCCATGGTCCCCCAGACAGATTTCAAGTTGTGGTTCCTTCAATTGGCCCACTGTTTGTCTAGGGTTTGATTAGGAGCCCTTAAACCAGATATGAAAAAGAGAGGCAAATAAGGAAACCAGAGGTGCTAGCTTTGTACGTAGCTTCATTGACACACCCCCATTGTTACTGAAGTACCCAAATTATGGAGGAAGAACAGAAAGATACCTAGACAATTATGCTGCTTTCTTTCTAGGTCCTTGCTCTTCATTTCGTTGCACATGAGATTGTATAACTTGTAGTATACTCACAAGGGTGAACTTTAAGGTACACCTTTTCCAGGGTTATGGGTACAATGATTTAACAAAACCGAACCAGAGTGACTGCTTTTGGACACGTATCCTTCACTTTAGTTAATGGGTTTGATGAGTAATTTATTGTTTTCACCATGCTCTGTTTTTCTTGGGTGGAAGGGATGCTCTGTTTTTTTTTTCCTTCTTGATTCCGCGGGCAATGGGGATTTTGATCTGACCCTCGTTTCCTTTTTACTGGTGGGGGGAGTCACAGTCTTGCCGCCAACCTACTTCTTTCTTTCTTCATTGGATTGATGGCACTAGAGAAAAAGAGGAAAGAATTCGATGGCGAATGAATCATGATGATAAGTAGTTTGGTTATGGCATTTTACCGGTACAGAGTATCATTAGGTGACTCGACTCCCCCTGAGTTTGGGAGATTAGGTTTCTTGATTCTCTGTTAAGCCTGCATTTTTTACTATCTCAGAATCGGGGGAAAATATCTCGATCGTTGGATGCATGTAGTGTGGTGTTTATAAACAACATTAATACGATATATTTAGCGGCTGAAATCAGACTTCGTTATCAAATGAGGTCTACTGTTTTGGTCGCTCCTACCACTAAGGTGTGAGGAAGTGGTTAAAATCCATACATGAACATTTACAAGACTACAACAACTCGAAATTTGTTGGGACTAGTTGGTTTATGATATGGTATCATAGCTAGCTTGTCGTTTGATGTCACGTATTCAAGTCATCACGACCTCCGATATTAATCGTTTTCTTAAAACACACTGTACAACCTGTCCGTGCAAACTTCAACCCCATGAGTTGGCTTTTGTTTTGAGAGGGCGTGTGAGAAATTGTTAAAATCCATACATGAATCTCTCCCAACAATTCGACCTATTAGAACGAGTTGGTTTATCACACCGCTACTAGAAGGTTCTTTGCTTTTATTTTTTTCTTAACCAACCTATAGTCAAGCAAATTGCAAATGGAAAGACCGGTAGCTAGCAGTTTTCAAACTTCACCCAACTCCCCTTTCTGAATTTCAAAGTCCTTGAAATCTCCAGACTTCAATTCAATTTCTTTCTTGGTCTCGAACCCTAATCAGGATTCCTACGGCTGCTGTTTGAATTTCAAATCCTCATGCCGGTCCAAAATCTTTCTTTTTTGTCCCTTAATTTCCTTGTATTGTGGTAGTAGGTGAAAAGGAACTTGAAACTGAAACGCCAACAAGTCAGTTGATTATAAATAATTGATCTAAACTGAAGTCAAATGCGGGTTTAGCCATTGATCATCTTCCAACCTTTCCCTTTCATGCTTAGTACTCCTCCAAAGCTTGGCACTATCCGATTCTCAAAGTCCAACGCTTTCCATTCAGAAGTGGGATAGAGCCAAACTTTGAGTGACTTTGAGGTTATGATGGGAAGGTTAAAAAGAGAGGGATGGAGCAAGGGAGCTAGGCCTTACAACCTACCCGCTATTCTATTTCCTTGTGACAAACTTGTAACTCAAGCTTCAAATATAACTTAACATAATAATGATAACTCCAAACATCTTCAATCAGTTTCATCGTTCAACTTGTCCTGATTAACATGTAGAGATCGCACAAGTCAATGATGAAAATATGACAAGTATGCTAACTAGCTGACGTGAACAACCCCCTTTTGACGAATGCTTGATTCAAACACAAACATGTTGCTCTATCATATCCCTAAATCTCATTGCCCGAAACCATCATCATTATCCCCTTTATCCTACCCTGATAGCTAATGACAAGGTCTTTGAGACCCATTTTATTATTGATTTTGGTGGATTGACATAGCAATCCAAAATTCTTTTCCATAAATTGTTCCAAATTTTGGTAACAAGTTTGTTAACCATCAAAGCTCTGGTGACCAACTTGCTACTCCACAAAAGTGTAGGAAGCCGCTTATCGAATTGACCCTTCATGGAAAGAAGTGGGGCAGAGTTTCTGGTCTGGTTTGGTTTGGTTTTTTTTCCTTTCAGAAGGGAATAAGGACCACTTTCTCATTACCAATCTGAAAGGGTTGCCATGAATGATTCACAAATGCATGCCCTTTTGGGCACTCATTTAGTTGGCCAAATCTCATTACAAATTGATCCACCCCCACTGTTTTCCTGCTTCGGATTCCATCAGCTATTGCAAATTCGTACTTTGGTTGTTAATTCATGGGGGTTGTTGGGGGAAAAGAGCTAGCTTGGCTTGACCAACAAAAAGTACTTGGGACAAACATGTATAATATACTCGATACTCCCACAAAATATCGGATTTTGTTATGGTGCTCATATTCAAATGCAGTGAGAATACGATTACAGAGGTATGTGGTTGTCGAATGTCATCGCGTCCATTCGATGATCGCGAAACGCCCAAGGCACAGATTTGACGATTGTACGCCTTCATTCCATTGATAAATTATTCAGAAAAAGAAGAACGAGTCAATCACAATTTATGTTTTCACATTTTAAACAAAAAGACCTGAAAAGTTGTAAATGTTACTAATAACTTTATGCGTTAGTTTCTCCAAACAATTTAGGCCACCAAATGTGGATTCATGGAAACATCGGCTTACCCACTTTGGGTCGTAACTCGTGCATCTCCCTCTCTATCCCTTGGCAAGACAAGAAGTTGACCAACTCTTGAAATTTTTGACTCGAGACAAAAATAGGTAGATGGTGAAGAAAAATATTTGGTGAACAAAATTACAAGAAAGAATTGGTTGGGCCGGTGGAACTACTGTTATTGGGCCTGTTAGTTTGCTGTCACGAGCCCAGGTGTCCAAAGTCAATAAGGCTTTTAGTTGTCCATATGTTGATTCCATCCACCCAGCCCATTTCTTTGAATAGATGAATGAAACCGTCTTGTATAATGTATGGAATACATCGGAGTTGTTTGGAGGTTGTGATTCTCCACATTGAAGAATTTAATTAATTTGTGTATTGCAAGTGGATATACTGATGAAATGTATGAATTTGAAAAATACATTGTTTGGAAGTTTACATTGTGTTTTCTTATAAATGAAAAAATAGAGGGTAGACAATCCATTATCACAATCTCACCTTTTCGTAGAGGTTGATAATCACTCATTTTTTTAGTGATTGTTGGTGGCCCAGAAAAAGGTAATACATGTATTCTGTCACAAATTTAACAAAAAAAAACCACTTAAACTTTACATTACATGTATTGACTAAATATATCACTTGAAATCACAACCTCCAAACGACCCCATAATTTTTGCATGTCAGGTCACAAAACCGAAAGATAGAAACTGTTTTGTTTACTATATCAGTTTTATCGGACGACTTACAACTGAAATAAATTTATCCTACACACAAACACAATACTTGAATTGAACAGAAACTCGAATTGTTTAAAAGAGATACGAAATCGAACTATTCGTACGAACCGGACACACACGATCCTGAGTCCGGGTTTTAGGTGGACTACTTGAGAGAAAGGACCGGGAAGTTGAGGCCCAGAAAGTCGTCAAGGGCTTCAATGAAAGCAGCGCCGGACTCAACGTGGGCCGGGTGGCTCATGAAGGCCAGGCAGTCTTCCTGGTTCTCGAATCTCATCACGAGGGCGTGAGTGAATCCTTTTGCGGTGATACGGAGCTTCGCAGCTTCAGAGCCCTGCTGAATATCGGCCGCCGCTCCCCTGCAGCCAGCCAGGATCAGTTTCAGATCGACAAATTAGCCCGTGTGTTTGTGAAACCGTATCATATTAATGGCGTGACAGATCGAAAAAACCCCCACAAATCGGAGTTTAAATCGGCAGACAAATTTTAACGGTACGAAACGGTTGAACCACGATTTTAGCACGAAAGATGAGACCTGCTAACAATATCAGGGACTGACCATTCGGCGGACTTGACGAGATCGATCTCGGAAAGAAGCTTCTTCAACCGATTCAGCATATCTTCCACTTCAATCCCTTCTTTGAACTTGAAGAGGACTAAACGCTTGAAGCATCCTCCTCCTTCCATGGCGATGGCGATGGACGGAAATTGTAAACCCACCAGCTCCTCTTCTGTATCCTTTTATCCATCATTATTCTTTGGTTAACTTCCTTTTCAAGTGATCTGTCCACTTTGTCTCTTGCTAGCTTTTTTTTGCTTTATTTTTCTGTTGTAGTAGTAGTTGATTGTTGGTTATGTCATGGAAGATTCGCTCAATTAGTTGACTCTGTAGATAGTAGAAACCCTTGTTTCATGGTCCATTAAACCGTACTGTACCGGTGGTTCAACCACGAAATACCGGTATCGGAGGCTAAATCGGTAGGCGGTATTTAACGATCTAACGATTATAATACGGTTAAATCACGATTTTATCATAAAATATCATATTGCTGATTTTTCCGATACGATATCCGGTACGATTTCATGGACCATGCCTTGTTTCGGAGGCAGTGCATTTTTCCTTGATGAGAACAGGGGAAAACAGGGGAAGGTGGAGGAGAAGCTTTTTTCCCCCTTTTTTTTTACTACATTACTAAATAGAGTAGACATAAATATATTTCTTCCTCTCGTCGTTCGATTTGAGGTGGGACAATTTAGAGCACGTAGAGCAAGATATAAAATGGTCGATTTGTGATGCGTGCTGTACGGCATGCTTTATTCACAGTCATTCGCTTCTTAATCAAATGATTGAAGAGGTATAAACACGTGCTTACATCTATCTTTATCATTATCCGAGAATTTCTATTCTCATTAAGTTGTATAAAACAATCATATTATATGCATTGGGGAATATTTTTAATTTGGGAACATATGTTCTATCCATTATTATACAAAAGAAAGAAAAGATGTCACTTTGTTGACAAATCTTTCATCTTCTTCGCAATCTGCAAGAGATTCTGCATGCTTCTTCTGTCTTACCTTTTTTCCCCCTTTTGCTTCAGTACTGGTCCCTGTAAATGAAAAGAATATGACATGAAATGTTGGGTGATGGACTTGGCATCACATGTTTGGTCACTCTTGATTTTGCTCATTCTACTAGAGGGTCTATGAATTTACTAATTACTGAGAAGCCATGGATTTCTAGAAATACCAGCTTAAAAAAAGCTGATCAGAGAAAGAAGCATGTCAATAATCACACCATTAGTGACCAATCTTGATATCTAGATTCAAGATTTTGAAAGTTCTAAAGGACCTAGACAGCAACTTTTGCTGCCACATAAAAGGCCCTCCATGATTGAGATTTGAGAGGCACCCAAATGAAGGGAAGAAAAGGGCAACTTTAAACCTACAAATCTACCTGTTTGTTCCCACTTTTTTATCTAATGAGTGCCCACATTGTTTCTCTCTTTTTTTTACTAATCAAGCTTCCCACCATTGTCAAACACCACACATGGCCTAAAGAGGGCAAAAGCAAAAAGCAAACTTGAAATTGAAGCAGAACTTCTTCCAAGGCAGAGAGAAAGATCTGCAGATTAGCTAGAACAGAACAGCAACCAAGACAGCACAGAAACATAAGAAATTCACATATTCCCACAGCCCAAATCTTCTTTCATACAAGCAAACTCAACAGTAATGATTAACCCATTTGGCAAATGATATTACATAGAGATCATAACTCCTCCCTTCATTGATATCTCTGGTTGTAGTAATTTCATTCCATAGTGGAGGGAGACACCACACATCAGGTTGCTGCTGCTGCTGGTGTCTGCTTGAGTGGAGTAGTAGGGAAGTTGAGAACCACACATTTCTCAATACTTGGTGAGAAAACAGCAGCATACTCCAGGTGATTGGGGTGGGATTCATAAGCTCCATAATCCTCCTTGCTGTTGAATGTCAATGTGAATGCATGTGTGAATCCTTGTGTCAGCATCTCATGCCCTTCCAAATCCTGCCCCCTGGAGGAACATTACACCCAAAAAAAAACTCAGAATCGCGCGCGGCGTTAGCCTCGCTCTCTGGTCTGATCTCCGGTACGATTTCACAATTACAATGTTTAGAATAACTACTTCCAATCAAAAAGAGAAGAGGGAAAAGAAAAAAAAAACTGACCATTCCAAGGACTTGATGAGAGGGATCTGAGAGACAAGCTTCTCCATCCCTTTGATGATATCATCCACCACAACTCCTTCTTTGAACTTGATGATGACCAAGTGCTTGAACTCTGCACCAGCTGCTTCCATGGCTTCCTGATCTCTCTACTAAACTCTCTGCTGCTCTCCTCCAATGGCTAATAATAATTGGGTGTAATGTCCAAAAACACTGACCTAAAGATGTTATATTTATAGGCCCCGCCATCTCCAATGTCCTCTGTAACAAGGGTGTGTGCTAAGATTCATGTGTCAAATTTCACAGTCACACACACATATGTGCAAATATCTGACACTCACACGTGTACATTGATACACTCATTTGACTGGTCTCTCTATTGCTGAAATTAATCGTGTACTGTGTTTTTTTTTTTTTTGTCGTCATTATAACGCGAGAGATTAGTGACTGTTGTCGTCGATAGTACGAAGTATGATCGTCGGTTGTCGTATACATAAGTTTAGGGATAGGAAGAAGAAGAAGACGAAAGAAGGGTACGTAGGTACTAACAGTACTGGCTGGCTGCATGGAGTGCTGGTGACCCACCCACATAGGCATCAGCTGAAACTTGAAAGCAACTAATGAGTGAAAACTTTTTTGTCTGGTAAACAGTAAAAAAATATATGGTTTAGTAGTCCTGTCACCATTTCATTCGCAACCATTTTGTGAGCCTGATCATCTGACCATTTCTAGCTACATTAATCTCCCTTCTGTTCTTGTGGCTGATGAATTAGGGTTTGTCATGGAAGGGCAAACACAGATAAATGTATCGGTAGGTAGCGACGGTACTTGTAAACAGTATCGGAAGTTATACCGAAAAATAAAGTCAGTGATACGATATATTATGGTGTAACTGTGGTTTAACCGCGTGGTTTACCACTAAAACCCCACCTGCCGATTTAGACTATGATAAAAGATTTTCTCGATCGAACGGTTGGTAGTGATGGCAATGGGGCGGGGTGGGGCATGGGTTACTAAGGGACGAGGCGGGTCGACCCACTCTTACATGTTATTTGGAAAAATACACCCAAGTTTTACTTTTTACGATAAAACGAGTGGGTAAAAATACTTTATGTATGAAAAATATTGATAATAGAAAGGGTAAATAATTCTAGCAAGTTGAAAGATCGACTCTAACTAGTAGAAAGAAAAGTCAAAATAGGAGAAATATGTATAGATATTGTGAGAAATTAAGATAAAATGAGCTAAGAACGGGGCGGGATGGGACGGGACATGAGACGGGTCGGAAGTAGATACTCATACCCCGCCCCACGTTACTACCAATCGGGTAATATCCATCCCGTCACGGATAAAATTGGATGATACCCACAAAAAGGGTTCAAATTGCCATCACTAACAGTGGTATAATACGGTTCTACAAACACTTATTAGTAGCCTTTATCATCATTCATCTGTACGTTAACCCTTGCCAATTTTCACTTGTTTCTAGAAAAAGATCTTAAGATTTTCCATCAAAGTTGGTCACTAATTATCTGACAGGCCAGGTCGTCGTTTTCCTGTTCTGCTTCTTCTTTTTGGTGGCCATCCATCCATCAAGCCTTTGGGCTTTTCAGGGGGACCTTTTTCCTCTACCATGTCGTTCCCATGTGAACGTACCAGCAGCAGGACGCTGGACGCATCATCATTGTTCGGAGGTGGGCGTGATTTCATTTCTGAAAGCTAAAGATCCAACGACGTCAACATGTACCGATTGCTTTTAAATCACTAGAATAGTTATATAAAATATTTTTCGAATTATCTCGAACATTTGCGGTCATTGATTCCCATCAAACCCTCCGACAACAAATTTGGATGCAACTTTCCTACGCATGAGCAAGTGTATGTATTCCTCATCATGGTCAGGTTCATGATCTTCTGACGCCATGATCTCTGCCTAAAGGGGGTGGGATTATGTGGGTGGTAATGGTCTGATTTTACTCTAATCCGATAAGAAATGCTGTTTTAACAACAGACATTATGAAAATCAACACCTCAAATCTTCTTTATCAATGATGGAAAAAGCATATCGAATTATTTCCTTTACCATAATGTCGAATTACAAACAAATCCAACTTAAACTTGTTTTTTGCATTCATTCAGTGAACTAATAAGGCCATGTAGGGATGGCAATGGGTCGGGTCGGGGGACGGATAGTGCATATCCGTTACCCTACCCAAAGTAGTTTGGGTTTTACCCATATCCATACCCACATGTGAAACCGGTTGAAAATTAAAACCATGCCCATACCCGTTCGGATTTCGGGTATCCGCGGTTATCCATGGGTAATGATTTTTCTTCATAACTATAACCAATATGTTAAAATTCACACGTATTCTCACATTACGTAAGAAGAAAAGTACGACAATAATTCACTAGAATGAAGAAAATTAATTAAAACAACACAATTTGATTAAAATATTATATTTATATGCTAAATATAAAATATGTTGGAGAAAAAAATGATTATTTCTAGACAGAATACATATGCATGTGTATAATCGAGCGGGTTCGGGTTGGATAGGAGAAACCCATGGCCACCCATTACCCGCAATATTCGGGTTCGGATTTTACCCATACCCACTAAATGTCCTTCGGGTTCGGGTTCTACCCTACCCGATAAGGCCGGATTCGGGCGGATATCCATGGTTACGGATATTTTTGCCATACCTAAGGCCATGTCTGTGGATGTTTTTTTTTTTTTGTTGTGTCTGAGAAGATTTTCCAAGGCCCAACAAGGAAATAACGAAAGCCCAAAATGTAACTCTGGGCTAAAGAGTTATGGGTGCGACTCCGAGACGCGTGCACCAAATCGGCGGAAGCCCAACCTATGAAAATGTTCACTTGTGTCAAATTTCTTGCCACACAAGTCACATATAAGATCGTGAACTCAACACAGGTCACATATAGGATCATGAAATCATACAAACAGATATGCAATCGTCGTAGTCGGCAGAATATACTATTTCTCTTGAAGAACATACATTTTCGGCGTAGTGGTACCTCAAACCCCGAAAAACAACGAACCCAGAGAATCGGAGAGAACCATACTGACTCGATTTTTCTTTGGAAAAGAATGCAGAAAAATAAATGTGGATCTTGTCAGAGTTTCGGTAAGGAAAAAAAAAACGTATTGTAAAACCAAAGGGATTATGTGCTATTATAAAAAAAAAATGAAGAGGTGCGTGCGAGGGAGGGAGGGGACTCTTCGAGTGAGTGATTATACCCAAACTATTGTATTGGTTCATGGTAGTTGGAATGACTGGGTTGTTCCAACCTCCGTGTCGATTCGATTTGGTTCGACTCGATTTAGTTTGGATTGTTATATAAACCAAATCTAACTGATTACCAACAAATTTACAAATCAATCGCGACTGAACTTGAGGTTGTGCCTTCCCTCATCACACCAAACATAATACTTTCACGAGTATCTCTTACCCCCTGCATTCCCATTCACACCTTTAAAAATTCCAACACTGGCCTATCTAGGGATGACAATGGGGCGGGTTTGCCTAAACCATCCCCATCCCCGCTTTCAAATATCTAAACCCGTACCCGCCCAATACCCATGCGGAAGGAGGGTTTTGCAAACCCATCCCCATACCCATGAGTTTCGAGTACCCGTGAGTTTCGGGTAATACCCGCCCCGTACATCCAACATCATTGTACCAAAGACTTCACATGCAAATTTTCAATTATAACGCTAAACAAACTTACTATATCATTAATTTTACAAAGATACAATCATTTTTAATACGGTTCAAATCCTATGATCCTAAAACATCTATTATTCAATAAGATAGAGAATCATTAGTTTCTAATGATACATCTACTAAGTAATACTTACCTAACATAATTATCTTGTTAACAAGAGAAAAAAGTGAAAGAATGAAGGGAGAATTGACGTATAGGAATATATTTGGATTTGGGTGGTCACACAATGCATTTATACTATATATTGTCTTAAGTTACCTTCACTAGCATTGATAGATTTCAATTCGATCAATGTATTTTTTATATGTGATGAAATATTCTTGGTGGGGCGGGTATGGGGCGGGGAGGCTAAAACCATACCCGCCCCATACCCATCAAACATTTTCCGGATTTTACCCATACCCGCCCCATACCCAGTCAATGCGAGGATTCCCCGTGTTAACTGGGCCGGGGGCGGGTGGGTACCCGCGACCATGGGTTTGATTGTCATCCCAGTCTATGTCATGTTCACTGGGAAATGGGAGGAGGTTTATAGTTTCCCCTTTCATATTTGCCCTTTCGAAATGACAAAACCTAAAGAATATACTTCAAACGGCAAGCCGAGTAACCAAATGCCGAACTCCGGGGGGGAAAATCCACTTAAGAATCTTCTATTCCTTTGAGATCGATTATCCAGCACGCCGACAAATGAGACTGTCTTCTGTTACGTACGCAACCATGTAATTAAGTTCCCAAAGATGAGGGAAGCGATGTGTCGTCCAAAGATAAGATGGGCAATAAATAACTATGAATAGCATAAAGATGTTGCGGGCGGATTAGGAACAGGATCAGCCGGATTGCCGGAGGTCAATCGTCGTCGCTTGTCAGATGGTGCGCTAAGTCCGCCGGCCGGGCGGCCAAGCACAGAATCTAGAATGTAATTTTCATGATGCCGGTGAAATCTAGGAATGTCAACGGCCAGGATAAGGTGAGTATTTTCGATAGCCGTGCAATTCCCATGACAGGTCTCAGTCCGGATTGGATAGGGGACGCAGGTCGCGGAGCAGGTCGACACATAAGGATATGTATGTATTTTCAACGAACACAATCGAGATTTTAATTTTTTTTCCGTTCAAAATCGAGAAACGAACTGATAAATGAAGTTAAATTATTATGATAAGCGGAGGGTTCGCACCCAATTACAATTATATATTTAGATATAAAATATATGATGTAACAAAAGTAAAATTCAAAGTGAGTTGAGTAAAATTGTATAATTTGGAAAATACGTATCGAGAACAGAGCGAGTCGGGTCGAAGCGATGATTCACGCCTTGCCCCATCCCACCTACCCACCTCAAAACCGACTAAACGGGTCGAACAAATCGAATAGGATTGGTCAGAGAAATTAACATCCATGGTGAGATCACTTTATTAATTCAGTTTCATCAAAATGATAGGTTTGATAGGACTACTCATCTGGTGGCTACTAATGTCTTTACATCAGCAGCTCGATTGTTTGATGTACTTTAATTATCATATATTATACACTTACCGGTGATGTAATCGGTTTATCGGTTAATGATATAACCGATCGAATACCAATCATACAGTTAACCAATTATAGCAGTTTCGGACGTAATCGGTCAGCATACTGTCTATCTCGATATACCGGTAACCGGTTGAAATAACCGTAGTGTTAACAGGATACCGACAAGCTAACCAACATACTGTTAGAGAGTGGTATAAGATCCAGCAGAACCTTCTCCCAACAACTCGAGTTATTGGGACCAACTGGTTTATGACATGGTATCAGAGCTGGTTTGGCAAGTGGTCGTGTGTTCGAATCTCCACGACCCCCAATATTAACAGTGAATTAAAGCACAAGGTATGATGGGTCTGTGCAAACTTCAAGCCCATGGGTTGGCTTTCGTTTGAGGGGGCGTGTTAGAGAGTGATATAAGATCCAGCAGAACCTTCTCCCAACAACTCGAGTTATTGGGATCAACTGGTTTATGACATGGTATCAGAGCTGGTTTGGCCAAGTGGTCGTGTGTTCGAATCTCCACGACCCCCAATATTAACAGTGAATTAAAGCACAAGGTATGATGGGCCTGTACAAACTTCAAGCCCATGGGTTGGCTTTCGTTTGAGGGGGCGTGTTAGAGAGTGGTATAAGATCCAGCAGAACCTTCTCCCAACAACTCGAGTTATTGGGGCCAACTGGTTTATGACATGGTATCAGAGCCTTCTGTGACCGAGAGGTCTTGTGTTCGATTCCCGGTGACCCCCATTTGTTAAGTACATGGTATTCTTGTCTTCAGACCTGTGTAAACTTCAAGCCCTTGTGAGTGGCTTTCGTTTGAGGGGGCGTGTTAGTATTGTGGTATATGATCCACGATTGAACCTCTCTCAACAACTCGAGTTATTGGGAGCAACTGACACAAGAGAAAAAAAGCAAGCGGCTCCAACTCAAGAGAAAAAATATCAACTCCTCCAGGCCCCAGCGAGCTCATATATCTTAGCTACTTAGACAATGCCTTTTCACTCGAGAACACCGGCTGAGACAGCTAGAATTACTAGGGAACAGTGTTAGGACCTCAATGGCCGGACACAACACAATTCACACGTTTTTATCATTCCACTGAACACTCCGCCGCACCTTTACCGGCTTTGATTTCTGGACATCCCACCTTAATTTCCTCGAAGCCAACAAGGAATTCGACTCGAGAATCTCGGTTAATTTCCAGTTAAACCGGTTCGAGTTGGTGGCACGCCCAGCTCCCTTGACAGTATATCGAAGAACCGATTCATAATCGCGGTAACGACCATCCGGTTAAACAGTTAGAAACCAGTAGCGGTATTCGATCTTTGCATTGTCGTTGCCGGTATACCATTAACCTGATAGTTAGTTACCGGTTTAACCAATAACCGACCAATTCCCGACCCTACTGACTTATCTATGACAAGAAAAGAATGTGATTACATTTTCTCATACAACCTCATAATTTTTTTTCATTTATGGTGACATGCCGATCGGTTGAACATGATTCAACTGGTGTCGGTCATGACACCGACATAAACACCACTGGTATAACTGGCATGATCGATTTACGAAATTTAAGTAAAATGATGGCATGATTTGATTGATAAAAAATGAATTTATTATATATTTTATGAATTATAAAAGTTAAAAGTTGATTTAATTTATTGGATTCAGGTATAAACGTTTAGATATTGACGTTAAAAGTTGTATTTAAATATGAGTATTTGTTATTTTATTTATAATATAGTATTTTATTAAGCTAGTATGAACCGACACAAACCGATTGTACCACTGATCGTACCATCCATTCCACTTGCTATCTCGGCGTAACGTACGGTATAAACCGGTTTGACAAACTTGATCTTGATCTTGACATATATATAAAGACCTCCCATAAGCTTGGGGAATTGCACAGGAAATTAAAAAACTTCTCTTAATATTCAGCCATCATTATGGGTTTGGAAGACGGGACCGGTACTACCGATCACAACCAAGAAGACTCCGGCGCAACCATCGCCGCCGCAGAGACGACGCCGTACATCGCGTGGCGGCGCAACTCCCCGTTGGTCCAGGTGATTCTAATGGGACTGGTCTGCTTCTGCTGCCCGGGCATGTTCCGGGCACTCTCCGGGATGGGCGGCGGCGGGCAGGTGGACCCCACCGCCGCCAACAACGCCAACACCGCCCTCTACGCCGCCCTCGCCGTCTTCTGCGTGGTCGGCGGCGGCCTGTTCAACGTCGCCGGGCCCCGGCTCATGCTCCCCGCCGGGTGCATCACCTACGCGCTCTACGCCTGGTCCTTCCTCTACTACAACCACACCCGGGACCAGACGGTCATCGTCGTCGCCGGCGGGATTTTGGGAGTCGGCGGCGGGATGCTGTGGTCGGTGCAGGGAGCGGTGCTGACTTCGTACCCACCGCCGGAGAGGAAGGGGGCGTACATCTCGATGTTTTGGGTGATATTCAGCTCCGGCGGGGTCGTCGGCGGGCTGATTCCGTTCTCGTTGAACTTCCACCGGGCGGCGGATTCGGTTAACGACGCCACGTACATTGTTTTCATTGTCTTCATGGTTGCAGGTAACGTACGCAATAGAAATTCCTTTTCAGTTTTTGTTTTTCTGCATGCATGCCCGTGGCAAATTAAAACTTTAGTCCTTCCAATTTAATTTTCTAACAAGTTTAGTTCCTAAATTTCAAAAGTCTCTAATTTAATCCCATTACATAAAAAGTTGTATCGTGAGACATGAATATTGTTAGAGAGTAGTATAAGATCCAGCAGAACCTTCTCCCAACAACTCGAGTTATTGGGACCAACTGGTTCTTGACATGGTATCAGAGCTGGTTTGGCCAAATGGTCGTGTGTTCGAATCTCCACGACCCCCAATATTAACAGTTGATTAAAGCACAAGGTATGGTGGGCTTGTGCAAACTTCAAGCCCATGGGTTGGCTTTCGTTTGAGGGGGCGTGTTAGAGAGTAGTATAAGATCCAGCAGAACCTTCTCCCAACAACTCGAGTTATTGGGACCAACTGGTTCTTGACATGGTATCAGAGCTGGTTTGGCCAAGTGGTCGTGTGTTCGAATCTCCACGACCCCCAATATTAACAGTTGATTAAAGCACAAGGTATGGTGGGCCTGTGCAAACTTCAAGCCCATGGGTTGGCTTTCGTTTGAGGGGGCGTGTTAGAGAGCTGTATAAGATCCAGCGGAACCTTCTCCCAACAACTCGAGTTATTGGGAGCAACTGGTTCTTGACATGAAGAATTTGATAATGCGGAATAACAAGAACACGAGACAAACGAATTTACGTGGTATCCTCGATCGATTGATTGATCGAGACTAATCCACGGTGAGCTCGGAACGAGCTCACGACTGATATTCTTATTAGGATTACATCTTGACGGCTTGCTTACGACAGGTTCGTAGCTAAGTCTTATATAAAGATAGACTAGGTTTAAAACCCTAACGACAACCAAGTTTCCTTCTTTTACATGAACAAGGAAACAAGGGACTTGAAGGACAAGGAATTAATTACATTTTGACTAAGTAATTAATATCCTCAACACTCCCCCTCAAGCGAAGACATGACTGACAAGAATGTCAAGCTTGAAAAAGGAAATGTGACGAACAAGCATGACAAGCTTGAACGACAAAACTCGAGATGAATAACATCTCGGACGAGGTTGATTTGGAGACGACTGACTCTCTCCCTTGAACAACCTGATGATGAAGACAGTTGACTACGTCTCATGAACTTGAACACACTTGGTACATCGCGGTCGACTTGATGACTGAGTTAGTCGACCGACGTATGTTGACCTCCTATTCTCCCCCTCAAGCTGGAGCATGAACAACGTGAATGCCCGGCTTGAAAAGCGATGAATGGTTGATATGTGCCCAATAATGAACCAGAAGAGGGGACGACCATTTCTTTGATCGTGAATGCCAGCTGGACGATGAAGGGACGATAACTTCTCTGATCGTACTACCTTTTGAACGCCAGGGGACGACCAATTTATGGATCGTAAATACCTCGATCAATACTTGACTGTATTTGATGACAAAAGCCTGCAAAATAAAATTGCTAGCCCAAAATCTAATTAAAGAGCCCATAAGAACCCTTACCAGATCAAATGTGGGAGCCCATAAGGGCTATTTCGGCAACACATGGAGAATGAATGTTAGCATGCCCAATTGAATTTTGGGCGGCCCATACTTGTGAAGGGGTGAGAGTTGGCCCGTAGGGTTGGGCAACCACCTCATTTTCCATTCTGCTTTCTTTTCTCAGGTGAAATCTGCCGTTTCCTTTTCCTTTTCTTCTTCTTCCTTCCACGGCGGCGCGACAATGGAAGATGCAGCAGCACAGGACGGATGAGAACTACAAGGAAGAATGAATGGCGATGATGATGATAGCCTTATCGACCTGGCCCCTGTCTTCGCCACAGAGTGACGGCGCCGTCCTTCCCGCCGTGAGTGCTCGATGAAGACGACCGGCGGCTAGTGAGGCCGACGAGGTCGTTGCTGACCAGGATAATGACGGACTGGCGAGGGCACTGATGTGGCCGACGTCGGGACAAGACGATGGCGATTTGGCGAGGGGATAACGACGCCGCGACGAAAGCTCCGAACGGCAAGGAGGCTTGACTGGTCGGCGAGCCAGGAGCTATTGTCTTGTGAGTTGCACCAGCGGAACAAAAGTTACGACCACACCATGATTGGACAAAGAAGCCCGCTGCAGTGGATATGACGGACTCGTCACTGGAGTTGACGAACTTGGAACTGGACTGGAGACGCACTGTCGGAGAGTGACGGTCTCGTTCGGAACGAACATGGACAACCGCTGTACGATGATCCCTGACTTGGAGAATACGACGAACGGAGGAACAACGGAGAGGTCGGACTGATGACCTCTACAGCGGCGGAAACACCTTTGGCTGTTGCTTCTTCGTCTGACCTTGATTGGTGATTGATAACCCACGGCGGACTGGACATCGGTCGGCCGGACTTCGAACTGAACTGGTTGTGGACGACGGTTGTGACTGGGCGGCGGCCTTGACTTATGATTTAGCCACAACCATCATGACCATGTGAGATACCACTTCTTGGCACATATATGGACAGTGCCAGTGATTGGCGACGCGGCAGTTGACGATTGATGATGACGGGAGAAACAATGGAGACCGACTATGGAAGCTCATAACCCTAGACAAGGGAATGAAGGGATCGAGTTTCGCTCTGATACCATGAAGAATTTGATAATGCGGAATAACAAGAACACGAGACAAACGAATTTACGTGGTATCCTCGATCGATTGATTGATCGAGACTAATCCACGGTGAGCTCGGAACGAGCTCACGACTGATATTCTTATTAGGATTACATCTTGACGGCTTGCTTACGACAGGTTCGTAGCTAAGTCTTATATAAAGATAGACTAGGTTTAAAACCCTAACGACAACCAAGTTTCCTTCTTTTACATGAACAAGGAAACTGGTTCTTGACAAATATAGTGAAATCTTGTAAATGTGGATGAAGATAAATAGTCCGATTCAAATCATATGAGCTATTTTTGCTGCTTCAGGCACAATTCTTTCGATCGCCATCCTCCCGAAAAACCAGCTCCTCCGCGACGACGGCAGCCGGTGCACATCCACCGCCCACTCCAACCCCGCCACGGAGGCGGTCGAGCTCCTGAAGCTCTTCACCAACTGGAAGATGCTCCTCCTGGCTCCGGCCGCCTGCGCCAGCAACTTCTTCTACACCTACCAGTTCAACAACGTCAACGCGGCCCAGTTCACCACCAGAACCCGCGGCCTCAACAACGTCTCCTACTGGGGGGCCCAGATGGTGGGCTCCACCGCCATCGGCCACGTCTTCGACCTGGACCTGGGCCTCAAGAGGCCCAACAACAAGAGAAGGCACCAGGGCTTCCTCGGGATCGGGACCGTGTTCCTCGTCAGCACCGCGATCTGGGCCGGCGGGTTCGCGAACCAGCTGAACTACTCGTTCGCCGACATGCCCCAGCCCAAGCTCGACTTCATGGACTCCGGGCCCAAGTTCGCCGGGCCGTTTCTGCTGTACTTTGGGTACGGGCTTCTGGATGCGATTTTTCAGAGCATGATTTACTGGGTGATTGGCGCGCTGGCGGATGACTCGAAAGTTTTGAGCCGGTACGTTGGGTTCTACAAAGGAGTGCAGAGCGCCGGCGCGAGCCTGGCGTGGTGGCTCGACGCCCGGAGGGTTCCGATGATGGCTCAGTTGGTCGTGAACTGGGCGCTGTCGACGGCGAGTTTTCCGTTGCTTGTGGTGTTGGTGGCGCTGGCTGTTAAAGATGAGCAGAAAGGAGAGCAAAAGGAAGAAGAAAATGGCAAGTCCATAGAGGAGAAAGCAGCCAGAGTAGTACCATAGAACTTGTTATAACAACGTTAATGTAGCTGATCCAACTTGGGGGCTCTTGCTTTGTCTTGAGAGTTTGTATTCTACATAAATGATAAAAAAAAATTCAGCGGCGGAAATGCGTGCAATATAAGTGACCGTCGCTAAGTTGATCCGGTCCTTATAGGGTCAAAAGCCGACTCGTCTCTAAACTGACCGTATAGACAAACTGACCCGCATCCCCCCTCTGGAGAAAAAGAGCGGACGATTCTTTACAGCTGGTTCAACTAAACTTTGGAACTTGGTAAAATCCAATTCGATGAACTAAAATGCTATGCTCACACAGTGACTCGCGTTAAAACGATTCAAACCGTGGAAGGAGCTGGTGGACGAACCTGTCTTCTGCTCATCAAGGGTAACTTTGTTGGTGATAACATTAAGGCCACGGTAGACTTGGATAGAGTCGGCGTTGTAATTCGGTTCGGTTCGGTTCAGTTATAACTTATAACCATAATTGTCTATTGGGTTATAGATTAATCCTTAAATAACTTGTATTTATTGCTAACTATATAGTTTATATTAGTCAGTTAGCCATAACAATATAGTTGGTTTCTCGATAATTTTGCCGGACAACTGTTAAACGTGTGATTCAACAAAGTTAGACCACAATAACTGATTGGTAACCTTGATTGGGTAAACAAATCATGGGTATCTATCTTACATTTGAATAAAAAATAAAAAAATCTAAATCAGACATAGATATGAGTGACCTAATTAGTCATTTAATTAGTACCAAAACCTGGTTGGTTCATGACGGTGTCAACAACATGTTCACGAAAAATTGGAAACAAAAAAAAAAAAAATCAGAAGGAGGTGACGATTGATGCAGATAACAAAACCACAAATGTTAATCCAAAACAAAGAAAACATTTGACATGTCAGCAATAATATGTTTGGTCATTCAGCGGAGAGTGTCGATATGCTTTTGCTCAGCTCTTCCAGCTTCTTCATCCTCATTCTCTCACTTTCACCCACCATCTGCAGTAAATAAAAATTTCACTCACCAGGTTAATCATTTTCATCTTCAGTGAAAGAAAAATCTTAATCAAAGAAGTCATGAAAGGGTAATAAAAGGAGCTCTCTCCACCTCCATCAACTTGGAAACCAGTTGTGTCTTCTCCTTGTTCTTCTCATTGAATGCTTCAAGTACTTCTTTGTATTCCCTTTCCTAGCAATTTTCATTTCAGCAATATGGAATGAAAGATAAATAGGTTGCTTGTTTGCAGATGAAATCAAGATTGAGCTTAACATTGTAAGTTTCGACTGACATTAATTGATATCGACAAACGTGTCATTAAAGTCTGAACTGACTAGCATACCAATCAGTTCGTTCATTTTCTTCGGGAATTCAGATTAATCCGTCTGACTCTATAGTCTTAAGTCTAATAATGGCTACATCATTCATAAGCTAGCATCAACACATACCTGATCCAAACCAAACTGAGTATTCGACCTAGTTACTTCCAACCAATAACACCCGAAATCACTTTAATCTCTATAATCTTTTTTATCTGATAGCTTACTAGAGAACATATATATGATTTTTCTGACCATAAATATAAGTTAGTTGACCCGCTCATCACGATAATTTCAATGAAAAATGTGGACAATCTCGAACTAAACACTTGTTTTTGTGGGTTATCCCAAACTTAGAGTAACAAGTTTTGTCCAAAATCAAGAGGCAGGATTATGGTTCACCTTCTTCTGGCAACTAAGGCCCAATGGCTTGAGTTCCTTGTTGACAGCATCAATCCTCTTCCTCACCATCGACACTTCCTTCCTCAACGGATCCGCCAAAGCTTCAAGCTCCTACAACGAATTGTGTTTTTTCCACAAATCAAAAGCATCAAACTTAATATGATCCACATTCCATCCCCAAAAAACCCTGCCATAAACAGCAAGTTAGCAAACTTACTTCTCGAATCTCGGCCAAGCGCTTGGTAGCCACTTCAGCACGACCCATCTGAGCCTGAACCCTGCCTCGAACCTCCATCTTCTTCCTCTCGATCTCCTCCTCTTTCGCGCGAAACATCGCGATTGCAGATCGAGACATCTCGTCCTCCTTGTCATCCAGCTGCTGCTGCTGCTGCTGCCCTGAGTTGTTCTTCACCAGCACCATCTGTTTCTGTGTTGTCATGATTTTCCTGAATAACCCAAACAATGGTTCTTTTTCTCTCTATCAAGTTTCCTTATGGTAGCTAGCTGCCCTTTTCTTTACCTCCACCACTTTCTCTTGGTGGTAATGGAAGTAGAACAGCCTTCAAGCTTACTTTACAACCCAGCAAAACAAATGCAAAATTAGCAGCTAATCAATTGATTAGTGACATTCAAGTCATTGGACATAATCATAATCACCTCTAATCATGCAAGATTGAACAGAAGAGGGACACACAGAAAAGACCCTTTGAGCCTTGGAGAAGCTCTCTTTAGTCTTCACCCTCTTCTTACCTTAAACATGGGTTTGCTGAAGATTTGAACTTTCCTCTTTAATTATGAAAAGAAAAGAATTGCATGATGGTATGGGGCACATAGGGGAACTTTGGTGAAGAATTATTCCACAGAATGGGGTCTCACACTCTCACTGTGGTTAGATGTGATGTTTTTTCCCCCCAGTGAAATGATCAAGCTAACAACTGCAGCATCATTTCACATGGATATATAATGTACTATTTGCCAATTCTAGCATTGCAGAAAGGTGCTTGCCTTGGATTGGAAGTTTTGTGTGTGCTTCTGTGAAATGGAATCTGACAGCAAGGGCTCAACTACAAGTTATATAGGTGGTATCTGGCTTTCTTTTTGGTAATACATGACCTTTTGCTTCTATTGGGGAGCCTTAGAGAGCAAGGCAGAGTAGGAGAGATGTTGGAACTTGGAAGTAAGAGTTATTTTCCTTATCGAGTCTCTTAGTACATGGTCTATATTTGTTTAATACTGATCATTCATAATTTTGTTTCACTTTAAATCTTCCATTGAAATTTGTCGATTGCTTATTTTTAAGACTGTAGTTGCCTACTTGCCTAGTTGAATGGCAATCCAACAAGTTCCAAAGTTGTATAGGGCTGGTAGTGTCCAGACCTACGAGCGTAATGTAAGGATCTAATTGATCGCTTTTTTCTCCCCCTGATTGAGCTTTGATACATTTATTGTAAAGCCTGTAAAAATTTGCACTCTTCATCATGATTCTGACCTCTCCGATGACCATATGTCCCTACCTTTTGTTTCTCCCATCTTTGGTAGACCATGTCGACAACCTATAAAAGGAATTTGTTGAAATGCTTCTAAGTAGGGCGGTAAGTAAGTCTTTGACCTAAATACCCATTATCCACTGATTTGGCCTGGTTCGACTCTCATGGTCAGGTTGCGTTAGGTTTTCTACAGAGTCCGTTTAGAGTAGGGGGTCATTCTTTGATCTGTAAGGGTCAGGTCAATTTAGGGTTGGGTCATGTTTTTTTTTTTTTGTCTATGACCGATAACAACATATTTCTCGTACATACCAACACATTGAGAGTGTTTGTAAAGTTTTAAAGAATAGGAACTATAATGCAAAGAAAAATATATAAAAGTACTAAAACATAATTTTACCCCAAAAATTTCAGAACCTTTTGTAGAAAATAAACTTTAGGTATTAAGTTTTAAGAAAAAGTAAATTTAGGTACCATAATATAATTTTCAATAAACAGTGTGTTTATTGATGTGTGTGGATCCAGATGCTCGACCCAGCCCGACCCTTGCGGGCCGAACCATGCCAAATGAGAATATTGCCGGGCCGGGTCAGGTTGGACAGTTGGGCCGGAAGTACAATTTCCGAAGTACCTACCAAACCGAAATAGAAACCATGATAAAGAATCAGAAATCGGCGAGTCACCTAACTGCCCTTTCCCCGTCGCCGTCGCCCGAATTCGGAATCAGAGCAAAGGAAAGAGGAACAGGATTGCGGCAGCAATATACTCTACAGCCGTCGCCGTTGCCGTTGCCGTTGCCGTTGCCACTGCCACCGGAGCTTTAAATTTCTCTTTCCAGCGCCTTGCCGGGAATCACTTGAAGGGTTTAGGGTTCCATTTCCCGCTCCCTGATACAGAAGAAGAAAGAAAAATCTCGACGTTTTTTTTTTGGTTATATGAGGGACCGGCGGTACGAATATACGAGGACACGATCTCGGTCACCGCCTCCGTCTCCTCCGCCGAGCCGGGGAAGCGACCGCGATTTCGGAGAGAACTGGCGTTTCCCCACTACTTCCTGCCATGCTCCGCCGTGGCCCGAGCGGGACCCGCCGCCCAGACTGCATTCTGGGTTCGCACCCCGGCGAGAGATCGATTACGATAGCCTTAGGACTAGGACTAGGAACAGGTCTAGGTCTAGGAATAGGTCTAGGACTCGGTCTAGGTCTAGGTCCAGGTCCAGGTCTCCGAGAAGATGGGCGGCGAATCGGGAACCGCAGAGAATCGACGGTCACTACGGGCGTTTCTCCGGCTGGAACCCGTCTGCGGATTCCGGTATTGGCTCAAGTCGGCGGCAGGAATACGAAAGATTGTATCCTGAGGATAGGTTTGGCCGGGAGGAAAAGCATTCTGCGCCGCTTATCGAGGCGATTCCGGGAAGGGAACCTGATTTCTCGAAGTTTCAACGAGACAACTTATTTGGCGTTGGAGATGGCAATGGTAACCCTAGCAGACCCACCATTGCAAGTCCAGGTCCGGCGGTATATCGAGAGATTCCCACGAATCACTTCAACAGGCTCTCTGATTCTGTCTCTGTGGCTCCAACCCCTGGAGAGACGCATGGAAGAGGCAGGCCAATAACTCATTATGATTACAGTGGCTTGCCATCCGCCAGGAATGTGAAGAACTATGGCCAGCTCAGGGATAGCGGTGGCTATGCATCTCCTTTGGGGGGCAGCGGTAGCTATGCAGATTCAGTTCTGAATAAGAGTCAAGGAAATGTGAGGGAGGCTTTAAGCAATCCAGCTTATTTTCGGCAAAGGCGCATAGTTGGAGCAGATGATGAGATTGAATATGATTTGGATTATAGGAGCACTCATTTAAAGTATGTGAGAGAAGGGCACATCAATGGCGGAGATTTCGAGTCTTACCAGGGAATTGGAAATCATGGTTTAGAACGAAATGTAGGTTCCATTCCTCCAGGAGAAGATTTGCATCGAGTACGGTCACCTTATGAAGGTGTTTATAGGAGCAGAGGTGTTCACCAACCTGTCTATCCGCAGGAGGAGTTAGGTGTTCATGATCAACTGGAATCTTTGCAGGGAAGGAGAAGTGTGGAGTTAGAAGCTACTCAACAGCATTCGGGAAGTTTATTTTCGCATAATCGGAATCCATTGGACGAGGATGATGACCTGAGCATCAGAGACCAAGTTTGGGACTACAACGACATTGATGATTCCTTACCTTTGAAAGATTTAGAACTAAATTACGGGAGAGGGAGTTATGGTAACCACAGCCTTCAAAAATCCTTACTGTCGGATCATTTAGAATTTAGGCATGGGGGTAGGGGGAGTAATGGTAACAATGGCTTTCAAGAACCATTAGAATCTCGACATTTCCTACCACCAAGACAAAGGCATTCAGGAAAGCCTGTCAAAGCTTCTAAAGGAAACATTGAGAAGCGTCTAGGACCTGCTCATAGTGTGAAGCAGCGATTGGGACCTAGGTTGGTACCTCATGCTATGGTTAATCAACACACATCTTTGCGTGCTACAAATGTTAAGGAGCGTTTGGGGCCTGCCCTAAAACTGGGAAAGAAATCGGGAGAAGATCGAAGTGCTGTTAAGCCGCTTCCCTGGATGAAGATTCGTGAAAAGGGACGTCAGGGGCCTACTGAAGAAACATTGAGCAATCGGTCCTTAGAAATGAAAGAGAAAGTCATGAAGACTGAACCTCAGGAGAACTCCGAGGAGTTCATCCAGCTCATAAATACTGCTTTCTTGAAGTTCTTAAAATCTCTGAATGAAAGTTCAGCCAAAAGGAGAAAGTACACAGAGCAACATGGAGATGGTATGTTGAGATGCAGTGTATGTGGCAGGTATCAAATCAAGGCACTCTCTCTCTCTCTGCATATACATATGTTTTGTCTTCTCTAGTAATTAGACAGTGTGATACTTCCTATTGATGCTGTCGCATAAAAATTAATTGAACTGCAAGCATGATTTTTGCTACTTCACATCGATCTGAATTATTGCCCTGTATACTATAATTGTATTGGTGAATGACTCCTACTGTCAGCTGACTTGCATTGACTAGTTTGAGCTCCAGCCAGTTATGTCATGTTCCATCGAGGCATAGGAAAAACTGAGAAAACAAATAGAGGAAAATGGGATGAATGATATAATAATCTGCAGGATTTAACGGTCTAGAGAATTCACCCTTTATCTGTGCTGTGAGGAAACTGGAGTCTCACTGAGATGCCCTGTCTGTGTTTTAACAGTGTTCTAAGGTAGTAGACTGGTTTCTAGTGAGTGAACTTGAGCCATCACTGCTTATAATGGTGCTTGAGACAGAATAAGAGAAGGGTTCGAGCATGATTGGAATATAAATATGTTTGATTTTTGCTTGTCATGCTCATGGTAAGATGGCAGTCTCTAGTCACCTATATCGTCGACACTTCTTGCGGAGGTGCTCTAGCTTTCTTGTCTTCCTTAGTGATCCTCAGAGCTTGTTTGGTGATTGATCCCTTGACCTATATTTTTTTCCTGGGAGGATTTTCTTCGGAAGGACTAGGAGATTACAAGAAAATGGACTTTCTACTTTCTCTTGCATTTGTGTATATGTTAATATGTGAATGCTTGAGCCAATGGCCACACACCATGCTGATGCAGACAGATCGGTGGTAAGCCAGATGCCAAGATTTTCTAGCTCGTGTTTCTTTTCTTGTGAGAAGAATTGATAAAGAAAAAGAGATTATTACTAAGCTTCTTAAAGTTATGACCGGATGATTTTTAAATAGACTCTGTTTCCCCTTGTAATTCGTTTGCATGGAATTCTTGGTTCGTGGTCTGCAGTTTATCCTCCTCTCTTCTACTTTATAAGCATACCAGAATTTGATTGAGGGCATTATGACCCAGGTGTTCCTTTAATGAACTCATTCTTTTATGAAGTTCCTCACATGATTCATGGTATTAAGCTCTTGTATTTCCCCCCCTTCTCCCTCGTATGCTTTAGCTTTTCTAGGCATAGCTAGGAGTTCGGTATTAGTCATAAAGAAAGATAATCCATTATGCGAAAAGTTTCTCTAGTTGTATATAGACGAGTTGATAAGCATTTGTCTATCTGTGTTGTAATCATGTCATTATTATTGTACATGCAATACAACTGGCCATTATGCTTGTTTGTGCTATTTTATTTCAGTTGTGAAATCACTTTGATTAACTGATTTGCCAACTGTTAAATTTCAGCAACTCCAAAGATTTTGTGGACACGTTAAGCTTGGCACAGCATGCGTCTACGTCATCTAAAGTAGGTTCCAGATTGGAGCATTTAGGTTTCCACAAAGCCCTTTGCTTGATGATGGGTTGGAAGTGGAACGTTGATGAAGTCCTAAAAAATGGTCCTTGGGTAAGGCAAAAATTGCCCAATGCCGAAGCTTTATCACTGAAGGAGGACCTAATTCTCTGGCCTCCTGTTGTCGTCATTCATAATGGTTCCATATCAAATGAAAATCCCAACAGACGTATCATTGTAAGTATTGAAGAGCTCCGATCTGTTCTCAGAGGTAAGTGAGTTTCTATCTGCGCTGATAATTTTGCTCAATCCAAGCTTAGTGATCTTCCTATTTGTTTTCTAGTTCGACAGACGCTGTTAATATAATTTTGTTTGGTCTGTTAGGATGCCATTTTAAGCATATCCATTAACTTTTTTATGGGCTCTATAAATGAGTAGTGTCTTTGCACCTGCATTCTAGAATCATTAGTACTTCTGTGAAGGCCCTAACCCTTCTGTAACTTAACTCTAGCTGACTTTGGTGAGTGATTAATCATCTATTGTCATTAGTAGTCGTGTGGACAGCAGAATTTGGCCATGGAAAGTACCTTACTTTCCTTTGATGGAATATCACACTATCCGTCATTTGGATGACCATTTTAAGATAAGACCGTTGCGATGGAATCTATTATGATGGAATTGTATTTTTGCATTTTAAGCAAATCCGTGAACTAGAAACAAGGGTGAAATTGTAATTTCCATTTTAAGTAAATCCATCAATCGCATTCCACACATCTCACATTCCATGGCCTGTTTGACATTTCTGAATTCTACATTGCACCACCTAAACAAGGCCTCCTTGGATCTTGGTTCCAAACAACTAGATGTTCATCTGAAGTTCAACATGCCCATTTACTCTGGTTGTTGGATGATATATTTACGAATTAATTGTGTGTTCGGTAGATCTTGTTTTGGCCCTTTTCCCTTCTTTTTACTTTCTTGCTTTTGTCATTCTAAATGCAGGTAAAGGATTCAGTCACTCGATTGTCAACATCTGTAGGGGGAAAGCTGCAAACCAGAGTATTATGGTGGTAAGTTTCGCCGGCACATTTTCTGGGCTGCAAGAAGCTGAGAAGCTTCACAGGCTCTATGCTGAGAATGGACACGGGAGATCCGGGTTGCAAGGAAAGAGTACAAGCACCAACAGCAGGGAAGGTGACAGCAAGGAAGACGAGGACACGGTATTAGGCGATCAAGTGGGTTCAGTGGAAGCAGTTCTGTACGGGTATTTAGGGATAGCATGCGACTTGGATAAACTAGACTTTGATATGAAGAAGCGATGTTTGGTGAAGAGCAAAAAGGAGATTAACGCAATCGCAGATGCCCCTGTTGGGGGTTAAACTAGACTTCTGTTGTCATTTTGGACTGTGGAATGCCCTTCGTACGATAGGTACGCTGGATACGCATTTACAGGCAGTCAAGTCGATGTTTTTGGTCCGACTGGCAAAGCAGAATGGGTGGAAGAGTGTATATTCTTTTCTCTGCCACCACCTTTGCATTTTGGCAATTGACGGGGAGGGATAAAATGCACCCGAAGTTGGAAGAACACAGTTCTTAATCGCCATTCATTTGACGGCGAGTGCTCGTTAGGTTTTTGTTTAGTTTGGTGGTATTGGGGACTTTTATTGGGGAGGATCGAAAATGGATCTATCCATGTGCTTTTTTCTTGAAGGTTTCACCTTGGAGTTGTGAAAGGGTGATGGAGGATCTTGAAGAAGCATATGGGTGCTCCATCTTTCTCAAAGTTCAGTTGGCTCGACTGAGTGAGTCTCTAACAGCAGCTGCAGCAAATCGGCATTTTGTGCAAGGGAATGGAAAGACCAGTATTTAGCCTTTGTAGTACTAAAACTCGTTGAACTGTCGGGTAAATTTTTACAGGCTTCTTTTTGTAGATCCTGCCATACCATACCTTTTGCGCTTCTTCAGCTTTGTGATGTTAGGAATCTCCTCTTTTGCCCTGTTAATATTTCCATGGAGGTTTGAAGATTGAAGTTGGAAACTGTTTAGTACTCTTACTCTTGTGCAATTTCTTATATTGTCTCCTCTGGTACGTGTTTGAGATGATGCTATTTCGATGCGATTGAGATTTGCATGCATCCTCTCAAATGTTCTCGTCGAATTGTTTATATTCAATTGCATGGTACAGTTTCAAATGCGCCAAACCAAACTAACTCTATTTCTAATCTTTGTAGTCTGAAAGCACGACTTTGGGTTCAATATGGTTGGCACCTTCTCCCGACCTAAAAAGAAATCAATAGGTGAGTGCGGATCCTGCTCAAGGAAAGTTGCAGGAGACACCAACTTCTGACAATTTAATATCGGTCTGAAGAACTAAACTATGCATTCTTCACAGATTCACGCGTGAAAGAAAAAGAAGAGGGCAAAAAGAATCTGCCATTCTCAAATGGATCCTTGACCACTGAGCTACTTTGAACACTTGATAACTTAGTTTTTTTCTCGAGGCCATCAGTGATGTGTGCACATGATCTGGGTTTTCTTTTACTTTGAGGTGAATTTTAATATTTGCAAGTAGTTGCAGAAAAAGACCCTGTTAATGGATGATTCCCACTATCTCTCTCACTTCCCCCTCTCCTTTTAAACAGTTGGAACTTGGAAGAAGTTCAGTGCAGTTCCATTTTCATTCTCCCGCCAAAAAGAAGAAGAAAACAAAAAAAAAATCGACAGCAGCACTTTTCCGATGGACTGCTTGGCCCAGAAACTGGACTCACTGCTACAAAGCGAAGCTGCCATGTTTGAAGAAGCACGAAATGAAGTCGAAGAGATCAAGGCCGAGCTGGCTGCCATGAAGTCATTTCTGGAGGATTCCGAGGATCCAAAAGCTACCCACTCCAAATCCAAGCAAACCCATGTCGCCCAAGTCAGGGATTTGGTCTACGATGTCGAAGACATCGTCGACGAGTTCATCCACCACCGTAGCAAGTGGCAGAGCAGCAGCCTTGGTACCTTCTCCGGCTATCTCCGGACGGCTCTCTTCTTCCCTCTCCTCTTCTGGGAGAGGAGACAAATTGCCGCCAAGCTCAAGGAAATCACTTCTTTGATCAAAGCAATTCCTGAGAGAAATCAACGGTATCAGCAAGCACTAGATGATGATCATCGAGCAGCGAGGAACACGGCCGTGTTCAATGCAGAGTCGGCTCTGTTTCTGAAAGAGGAAGAACTCGTCGGAATCGAACCATTTCAGAAACTGATGGTTGAATGGCTCACTGGCGGTGATAATCCCCGGCGGAAGACTATCTCGGTGGTGGGGATGGGTGGCTCCGGTAAGACCACTCTGGTTGCCAATGTGTTCAATTCTCCCGCCGTGAAACGCTGCTTTGACTGTGCTGCTTGGATTACTGTCTCTCAGTCATTTGCTATCGAGGATTTGTTGAGAAGCTTGATCAAGGAATTCGGGATTCGCAAAATGGAGCAATTGAGCAGGATGGGGTATCGTGAGCTCATCGAGATGCTCGTGGAGTATTTGGAACGAAAGAGGTATCTAGTTGTGCTTGATGATGTCTGGAATGCTAATGTTTGGAGTCATATCAAAGTGTGGCTTCCGGATGAAAAAAATGGAAGCAGTGTCATCGTTACGACTCGAATTCATGACATCGCTATGTACTCGTCTTCCTCTGAAGATGGAAACAATGTTTACAATGTGAAGCCGCTGGATAAGAACAAAGCAATGGAGTTGTTCTGCATCAGAGCTTTCTCCTCCAAGAAATGTCCTCTTCACCTTCAGAGTCTAGCTGCTGACATTGTGGAGAAATGTCAAGGCTTGCCCCTTGCAATTGTGTCGCTGGCCGGTCTGTTATCGACGAAAAGATGTTCGGTAGCTGACTGGACGATGGTTCAGAAGAATCTGCAGTGGGAGCTGAGCAACAACCAGATCCTTCAGCCGATTGGAAGCATTCTTCTATTGAGCTACTACGATCTTCCTTACCGACTAAGGCGCTGCTTTCTTTACTGTTGCTTGTTCCCAGAGGACTACAAGATATGGTGTGGCAGGCTAACAAGATTGTGGATGGCAGAAGGGTTTGTGGAGGATGAACAAGCCAATGGCGTAACACCGGAGGAGGTTGCTAAGCGTTACCTTATGGAATTGATCGGTCGAAACTTGCTTCAGTTTGTGGATTCAGAATTGTCTGTGAATGACAGAATGTGCAAGATGCATGACATGTACCGGGAGGTCGGGCTTACAATAGCAAGCCAAGAGAAGCTTTTCTTCATCTGTGATGTTGGAAACCCTGCAGCTGTGTCCAATGAAGACGACGCAGAACATCATCATCACCGTCTATCAATTCACCGAGCGAGTAAGATTCATAAACAAGACGTGCTGAGATTGATCGATGGTATGTCACGCATTCGCTCTCTCTTCATATTCCCTAGCAATGGATGCTGTCATTTCTCTTTGAGTGAACTGGATTGCACGCAATTGAGAAAGCTTAGAGTGTTGGATTTCGAAGAAGCTCCGATCGAGGAATTACCTGACCACATTGACAGTTTGTTCAATTTGAGGTTCTTGAACTTGTTTGCCACTCCAGTGAAAAGGTTGCCCAGCTCAATCGCAAGGTTACAAAACCTTCAAACTCTAGATGTAGTGGGCACAAAAATTCAAGCTCTCCCCAAAGAGGTCACTGAGTTGCAGAAACTGCGCCACTTGTTTACTGGCTACTCCAAACGAACAACGGCAAGAGATTGTGATGGGCTACACGGCATCAAACTTTCTGCGGGATCAGACATCGGCACAATGAAGAACTTACAGTCCCTACGTTTGGTAGAAGCAAGTGGACATCTGGTGAAGCAGCTGAGATTCATGACGCAACTCGTAGTACTCGGAATAACCAACCTCAAGGGGCAAGCTCAAATGAACGACTTGTGTTGTTCTCTTAAGAACATGAGTCTGCTGCAACGGCTAACAATTGGCACTGGCAATGATGTGGAGATCCTTCGATTGGATCGACTTGGTCGATCTCCTCCACTGCCACGCCTTCAATACCTGAGCCTGTTCGGGAAACTGGAGAAGTTTCCACGGTGGATTTGCTCTCTTCCAAGCCTCGTCGACCTGCAGATGCATCGTAGTTGCCTGCCCGTGGAAGAGGATCCGCTGAAACATCTGCATCAGTTGCCGAGTTTGAGCAGCATTTTCCTGAACAATGCATGCCAAGGGACGAAACTGGTTTTCCCAGTAGGGTTTGCCAATCTCAAAACAATGGCACTCAAGAATTTTCCAGGACTCAAGAGCATGACAATAGCAGATGGAGCTATGCCTGGCATCAAAATACTGCAGGTTTCTAGTTGCATGAATCTGAAGACTGTACCACAAGGTATTCAACATCTGAACGAACTCGAGCAATTGAGACTTGACATTGTCCCCGCGGAGCTTGTAGAGAGCATTTGTGGACCGGATCGACGCTACGTTCAACACATCCCTCTCGTCAGATGTCATTACTACTCATCATCTGGGAAATACATTCGCAAGAACTTGTTCTAGCCTGGTCATTGTATCCCTCGTGGTGAAGCTTTCCAGATTCAGGCAGCTACCAATTTGCAGCATCTTGATTACCAGCATGGCTCCGTCCTATATCGCCATGCTCTCTAGTCTTACAAAATCCTTCAATGCCATCGTCCTAAGATTCTGAGGTTTCTTTTTTTTTTTTTTTTTTGGTTTTTTGGTAGTTAGAACACCTTTGGTGACTAAGTGTATTTTTTTGATTAGTTTATTTCAAACTAAGTAAATGTGCACAACATTGATGAAATGGAGATAAAACGAGATGGAACTAAAAACATTTTTATTTTTTATTTGATTTTCTGGAAACTTGTCTAGACAACATCTTTTATTTCTGCCCTTAGTCCTGTGATATGTTTATTTTGTTCTTTAAGTTAGGTCTATTTTCATTTTGTTTCAGTTTTTTGTGTCTTTTTAGATTTTTTTTTTTCAAAGATATTCCACAATATGGGAAACAAAAAGATTCGAAATATAAGTACAAGATCTTTGTAGGTTAAAACAGAAAAGATAAATAAGGAAGGATCATCGGACGATTCCAACGTTAAGAGGGATTTTTTTGTCACGATATGCGCAACCCTAATATACCTATGCATTGACTAGAGTCCATGTCTGAGCTTCGACCCTTTTCATAGCGGAAGTAATGGAGCAAGCTTCTTTTATGTTTTGATTCCTTATTGTATAAGATATTTTCCTGTTTTTCAGCATTTCAAATTTTCTGCAACGAGAGCGAAAGTAGGAAGGTAATTGTGTATTCATTCTTCACAATCATTTTTTATTTTTTATTCATAAGAAAAAAATACATCAATCTCGAGATTCAAACCATGGTCTTTCCAACTAAGACAACAACCATTACCAATTACGCTAAATAAATCTTTTGTATCTTTTTAAGTAAAAAATCTGAAAACATGAAATCTAAAAATCATACGACTTTTCCACTACTGTTAGCTAGCCCACTAACTTTCTCGTAAGTACTTTCTTTGTTATTGGATATTTGAATTTTCATATTTTAATTATTTTAATAAATAATAAATTTAATTTATGTCTATCTTATAGATGGAAGATAATTTTAAAATTGAAACCCAAATATCATTGCTTCGAATATTACATATTGAATTGCAGTATTAAATGTGTAGATGTGATGTAGAATTTTTAACTTGGTATTAATTTTTAGAACTATTAAAGCAATGATATTGTTATGCAAACTGTAAGTGATCAGCTTTTTATAATTTTATTTTAGTTTACTGTTAAATCCTCACTCTCTTGATAACATAGCATGATTGGACAAATAAGTGAGTTTAAAAGAACACAATTTCTGAATACCAATTTTTCTAGACGATTAATTATTTAAGTATTTTATCTTATATGATAATTGACCATATGTATCGTTTATAGTTAATTAGTTTAATATAAAATAACCGCAATACAAGACAAATTATGAAAGTCGAGCTGGAGTTATCATGGATGTATTGATGTGGTCATGTGCATTAGTAAGGTAGGTACCACAACATAGGTTTTTTTTTTGTTGAGTGAATAAGAGTGTACTTGAACTAAATTTAGAGTATGTTGGTCGATAAATAATTTTTTCATTGCGTAGAGTATGGATGGAAAATGTTATTTTATTACTAATTTTGTTATTGTATTGTGCAAAATACTTTAAAGTTTAGATACTATTATATATGTATTGTTTCTCAAGCATAAGAAATAAATATTGAATAAAGGTTATGATCACGAATTCCCTATTTATGCTACGCTTTTTTAGACAAACTCTTTTTTTGTTATGTAAATTTTCGTTTCAGAGTGACTACATTATTAAATTGACAAGTTATGAATGATTATTCACGAGTGTTATAACCAAGATAGTTACACCTCTACCGGACGGCTGGTTGGACTAGGTCTGACCAAAGTCGTATTCCAAAGCCGACTCTACAAAACCAAGTATCTGATCGTTAGAGAGGGAGAAGAAAAGAGAGGGAAGGGGGAGGGGGAGGGGGAGAGAGGCAAGAGTATGGTGGGTGGATCTTGAAATAAGTATGTTTTCTTATGGAATTTGAGTTTTTAATAGATATAAGTTATTTACATTTCATTTCAGTCGCTACATTTTTATCTTATATGTAAATATATTTAGAAAAGGTGTAAAACGGCTCAAACAGGTTGGATCTCAATCAAACCATTAAACTTCACACTACTTGCTTGACCGGCTCAACAACTTGAACCGGTTTGACAACTTTGGTTATAACAATTAAACTTACAATGTTCATCACTGATGAAAAGTTATAAAAAATTCGAAAATGGAAAAATAATTTTGATGTCACCTAAATGTCATACGAAGTAGATGGAGTCCTGAAAAATATATCATCCAAAAAGATTGGTTCTTCTAAATATTACTTTGATCGATATACTATTAAGTTATCATTTACTCATCTCAACATACTGATCTACATTATTCCCAGTTTCACATCCAGCCAACTAATAACATACAAAAACTAATAATTAACTAAAGAAGATCTAAAAACCTAAAACGTGTGTTCAATTATGTCGATTAGCAGGACCCCTCTTAATTGCGATGGCTTTGTCACTCTCACTCACTGCATTTCTCTATCGATCAGCTTCAGGAAATTGACCAATGACCAATAATACTGTCGACTGTGGCCTGTTGAATGGTAGTAACAGTCCGCCCAATAAATCGTGGAGGTCTTGTTCGAGAATTGAGATGCGGTCCAATTTTCTAAGTATAGTAAAATGAAAATGAACATAAGATAGTTATTTAAAAACTCATTTGAAATAAAATTATGGGTGTGCCTACGGTGACATGCATGTCACGGTGACTTGCACTTTCCGGTCGACCTCAGTTAGGATTAGGTCGACCTCATATAGAATTCGGTCGACCTCATATAGGATCCGGTCGACCTCATTTAGGATTCGGTCGACCTCATATAGGATCCGGTCGACCTAATATGTTGTTTCAGTGTAAAAACAGTTCATGGTGCCTACTTTGGATATTCATATCATACAATTGGCTAGATGGAAATTGAAGACTAATGACTTGTTTTGAAGCTGGAGTGTCCCTCTACATATTGAAGTGATTGAGAGCTCGATAGGAAGTCCAGAAGACCATTTTTCAACCTCATCAAAAGGCTATGCCAAAACTGGGAAACTGCCTAGAAATGGCTAAGTCTGGAAACGTGTTTGTGAAGCCTATTTTTAGCTCAATTCGAGAAGCATGAATGCGAGTCGAGTCCAGGAGCCTCTACCACGTTAAATTAGGTATGTTTTTATACAAATTCAAGGAATTGGATGAAAGATTGGATATCCTTAAGGCTTCAAACAAAAGGGTCGAAGTTGCTACGAAGGCTGTTTTTCTGGCAGACTTCGAGCACAAGCAAGCTGCCAGAAAAACAGCCTTCGTAGCAACTTCGAGCCTTTTGTTTGAAGCCTTAAAGATATTCAATCATTCATTCAATGCCTTGCCTTTGTATAAAAAAATACATAATTTAACGTGGTAAAGGCCCCTGGACTGGACTCGCATCCATGCTTGTCAAATTGAGCTCCAAAGTAGGCTTGACAAACACGTTGCCAGACTTAGCCATTTTCAGGCAGTTTCCCAGTTTTGGCATAGCCTTTTGGTCAGGTTCAAAAATGGTCTTCTGGACTTTCTATTGAGCTCCCAAGTACTTTAATGTGTAGAGGGACACTTCAGCTTCAAAACAAGCCTAATGGTCGCCTGATTTGGTACGACAATTGGGCCAACTTGCTAGATTCGATCGAATAGGAGAAGGAGAATGAAAGTGGGTTGGTTCTCTCGCATATGATTCCGAAAGAAAACAAACTCATGCATGCATTGCTGCCTCGTTGAATCGCTACCTTCCGACGATCGAGTTAGTAAGAGAATCGAAGAGAAACCCAAAAGGGAAGAATGAGTTAGTTAATTAAGAATCTGTTTCGTACCAGCGGTCTTCCGATCGATGATGAGCCAACTAAGACTCTGTTGATGATCTCATTCCCTAGATTACTTGCGGTGATTAATATTCCATGCATGAGAAATACTTTTGCAGGTTCGTACTACTTGTCACCATTCCCCCATTTATTCCACGAAATAAATGAGAAAAGCGTATACAGTAACAACCTGCAAAAGTATTTTTCATGAACGAAAATATCAATCAAAATGTATACTCATGACTGCCAAACACCACCAGGGGTAGCTAGCTATATATATAGCCACTTAATTCTATATACGGTACATATGAAACAACTCATCAGACAAAAACCAAACCGGAAATTCATGAATTTCTGTTCGTGCAAAAACTCCCAATTCGATTTCTGGTAAGGTACACAAGTTCCAAATGTCGGTGTTTCCTAGTAATTGACATCAACCATTAAGAAATTATAGCCGTCTCAGTCGATCGCCAATCGCCGGTTCAGGTGGAATCCGGCTGAACCACAGTTAAAACTGTAATTTTTTTTTAATAATTTGTGAATCTACGATTTGAATTAGAATAGGGTAAAATGGATTCGGTTATAATGAAATGAATTCGATTCATATTGTCACCTCTGAGTTCTAACTGCAATCATCCACATTCGTTTTTAGTTTTCTTTTTACGGTTTAATATTATTCTTTGTTTGGAACATATGTAGAATTATTTTATGCGTGCATTACTCTCGTCTTCTTCAAATCTAACAAGCTATCAAAAAAATAATTTTTTAGAATGACATTTTAGTACCTTAAATTATCAAAGTACCACAATTATATTGACCAAATTTCAGATATAACTTGGATTCATAAATCATAATCGAATACATGAATCTACGAATCCTTTTAATTTAATCTATCACTCCATTAACTCAATCTGTTTGCCACCCCTACTTGTTGTCCGATATGCATAAACCTCTTTAGCAGCATCTAGGCAGCATAAAGATACCTTGATAACTAACAAATAAATAATGCTTCCAGAATCGGACTGGATACTGAATCAGAAAAGTTAGTGGTT